AACAACAACAACCAACAACAACAACAACAACAACAACAACAACAACAACAACAACAACAACAACAACAACAACAACAACAACAACAACAACAACAACAACAACAACACAAAAAACAACAACAAAAAAAACAACAACAACAACAACAACGACGACGACGACAGCAACAACGAGAACACCAACACTAACAACAACCACAGCAGCAACAACAACAACAACGAAATCAACAACAACGACAGCAACAACGACGACGACGACGACGACGACAACAACAATAACAACAACAACAACAACAGCATGTAATAATAACTTCTTCACTTCAGCGATTACTACTTCTAAAACAGAAAAAATTTAACTTACAAAACCAAACATGAAACACAATGGCCACAGAAACCCTGCCAACCCACTGGCTCCACCAAATCTATCAGCTTCAGGGTCAATAGAGGGAAATATCTTGGGAATGAGGCAGATGAATAATGAAACCAATACAATTATGGCACAGGAGAATTTCCGAAGTGTTGGCACTTTACGAAGAATGAAATATCTAAATAAGCAAGTTGAATGAAATATGAAGTACAACTGTGAAGTATTGAATTTTCGTACTATATATGGGTGGGTTTTACCACAATTACACAACCGCGCAACAGATGGTGTTCAATCGATAATTACTTTCATTATAAGTGGAAGACGTGTCAAACATATTGAAATAACTCACAAAAACGAAGCAAAAAAAACCAAAAATGTGGAAACGAAGTTGCTCTGTAGTTTCAGTAAACATTCTTACCAATAAAATATAAATGCAAATTATGGTGTATGAGGTACTTTATGTGACATGCAGTTCCAAAGGCCTGATTACACGTGCGCTTTCTTCGGCGGAATGCGAAAAATTTCGCGCGAAATGAATTTGGTGTATGCGCAGTAAAGATAAATTAGGCTTCGCGAGAAAAAATTTCGCTTCACCAGTGAGTAGAAGTCAGTTCTACTCGCTGCGAAAGCGGAAAAAGTTGGAAAATTCAATAGAATCACTTATGTGCAACCATCCGTATTTTGCTGACACAATAGTCAGATTTTCGCCATCGTAGAGTCAGGCCTTTATGCCTTATTCTCCGCTATGTAATTTGTAATGTTTGTCCAACATGCTGGACATGTATGAATATGCTTTTACTCACCGAAATGCCATTATGAGAGGTATCATGAAATTCCCCAAAATCGCTTGCAAGTACGGCGCCGTTCGCCTTCCACTGCTGGCATAGACGACCAGAGTTCCATTCAATGCATCGAAGAGACCGACTAGAAAGAGCTGCGAGTGCGGAAACCTTCGTTCTGTCTCGCCGAGCAGATGCGGTTGAAACAGGCGAATGAAAAGTAAAGCACCTCCGAATAACATGACAAATGCCATGGACGCAAAAGTATAGACAAAAAATGCGTCGACTCGAGGTTGATATACATCACCATTGCCAGATGAGGAGTTGATATGGTTGGTGGAATAACCATTGCGCATGAGATGACCGGTATCATTCGTGTGGTTAAAGGAATTGTGGACTAGATGACCAGATGGTGGCGGAATTGACGAATCAATCCACAAAGGTAGGGTGACATTTTGCCCCACTTCCCCGCCGACTGCCAAAAACGCAAAAAATATGTTTGCTAGGATCAGATTGACTTTGAAAGGTCCAAGTCCTATGGTCTTGTGCTTTTCTTCTGGTAGCGAGTTAAGGGGAACCATATCATCATTATTTTCTGACGTACCCATGATATTCAGGAGATTAGAACTGCGGTATAACGATTGCCCTGTGATTTACGGTAAATTTCAGTTAAAAGTTGAAGAGGCTCACACAAACGTAAAAGTCAGTAGAGTCTAGGCGTACAATGTGATGCCGGGATTAGAGAAACGCCTTTAATTAAAACAATGAAAAGTCAACAAAGGCTAAGCTTGACAAATATTAATCTAGTCAGAGTACATTAGTTCTCAAGTAAGTTCCATGCATACCAGCGTCCAGTAACGGTGTCGAATTTACCGAGTTCATTAAGCTTCGCGTTCATACGTCAAACGACAGACGATGGGCAAAGGAAAAATACACTATAAGGCAATACAGAGTCAAAGTTCTGCCAAGAAAGTTCGACCGTGCCGTTTGTTATTGCATGCCCGTGGGAAAGTTAACAACTACTTAATCTTTTGTTTATACACAATCCAGACACATTTTGACAGGGGGAGTGGGGGTACACTTTTTCCACTTTGCCTTTGGCGGATATTTTTTCACCAGGGCAAAATAATTTAATATCACGATGAAGTACGTAAACTTCCTGACGAAGAGCCTTCCCTAGTCGACGTTTTTCTTGTATTATTCAGGCAGTTGAATTCCTATCAATCCCTATCAATCCCTATCAATCCCTACGCTCGCACGGTACATTCGAATTTATACTACATGCAATTTTCGAATTTTTATTTTAACTTAATAGTTCCCTTACCAGAAGTTCGGAACCTACCATGCATTTAAGGAAATAAAATACAGAACAAGAACCCGATAAATCCAACGCAAAACAACTGAAACGAAAGCGAATTATAAAGAAGGACCTTCGTCGAAGTTTTGCTTGTATTTTTCACCGTTCCAGTTTATATCTCTTAAAAATTGTCGTCCAAAAATATTGTTAAAAGTGGGGACATTTTTTGACCGAAAATTGACACCAGCACGGATTTAAGTTGGTACAAATACGTACCAAATGACTGAGGACAGCCTGGATAGGCTAGCTATGTATGCAAGAGTTATAGTTACGTATTCGATAGACAACATTGCTTAACAAATTTATATTCTCGTTCTATTTTGAGCAGATGTTCCTTAAGGCCATGTCACATGACAACTTGCAACGCAATTTCAGATAGAGTCATGTCTACTTTTAAAAATTAAAATTTTGAGCATGGTCTATCATCCTATGATCTACCATGCACATTAGTCATCATCTCACTTCAAATAATCTTTGTTTGCTTTCCAATTTGCTGCATACATGCATTTGCATTCATGCATGATAGTCACCGGAAATTATTCAGGAATTCTATATTTGCACTATGTCTGGAGAATCAATGGATATCTTGTCAAGGTTCAGCAAGTAACGTGTTCAACCGTGCCTCTTACTGTCAAATATGGAACCAAGAACAAACTTTAGTCTCCCGTTCGCAAACTGCCTTGTATCTAATTGATAGCTCGTCAATTGAATGTAAATATTGAAAAGCTTGCCGACCATTTATTAGCCAATGTCCGAACAACAACACAGCTGATCAGCAATTTGTCAGACCCAAGTGAAATTGTTGTGATCCTCATTGCAAGCGTATTTCGTAAAGTTTAAAGAACATATAAATGAGGGTCTCTCAAGTGTTTCCCTAGGGAACAAGATATATTTCGCAATGGGAAGAAGGGAATATGTATAACAGGCAACAAAGGGAAAATTTCCAAAGGCACACAGAACATATACCCCCTTCCGCCCCCCCCCCCGCCCCCTTGGAAGACCGTCACAAATTTAAAAGTGTTTATTTTAAGTTTTTATCTAGCCTTGTCCGTATAGAATTTTTTATACATACATATAACTTGTCGTTAGAGCTCAACGACTGTCTCTCTGTAGCTCAGTTGGTTAGAGCGCTGCACCGGAATCGCAGCTGGGCCGAAGATTAATGAGTTTGAGAATTCACGAGAAAAATTCGAGCGGAGCATTTGATGTAAATATTACAAAGGGTTTTTGTTGAAATTTCTAAACTTAACCAGGGCAGCTACGAAAAATGCAACCATATAGGCTCTCTGGCAGGAATCGAGCCTGCGGTCCTGCGATTCCAGGTGCAGCCTCTAACCAACTGAGCTACAGAGTGCAGTTGTCGAGCTCTACAGGGTGTATCAAAAAAACTGAACAGATATGAATTTGCTCTCAATTTCGCAAAACAGCTATTAGTATCCAGTTTTTCAGATGTATATATAGCTTCTTTGGGTACTTGTAATGTAGAATAATGAAAAAAAATTCCCGAACTCAAATTTTGTGAACCAGGGGGGGGGGGTGTCTTTTCAAACAAACTAAAAATGGCTTGCGCACGAAATTTGAAAGCTTTAATCATATTTTGAGTTAATAGATGGACAATGTGTTTGGGTTTTTAATTACTGTACAAAATTTCAGACAATTTTCATTAGTCTAAGCCCTCTAACTATTCACGCAAACTTACATTTTTTCCCTAAAAAAAAAAATTAATGCCTTAATTTGCTTAATTTGCATATGTCAGCAATATATACATATATATATATACATATATATATATATATATATATATATATATATATATATATATATATATATATATATATATATATATATATATATATATATATATATATATATATATATATATATATATATATATATATATATATATATATATATATGAGCGTGCGCATAAAGGCTTAGGCATAATGTGTAGTATATAAAGTTCTGTAGTGTCCCACATCCACCACACTGTCTTCTATAGTATATATATTCTTGGTATGTGGAAGCTCATCATCGGTGCACTGTGCTGATGAGCCCCAATAAGGGCGAAACAGCTGTCCACAGTTGCCGTTGTTTGAGCTTTCCTTGAAGGGCGCTACAGTGTCTTTACTTATGTGCTTTATCGCCGTTTTTAAACTGTGAAATGCAGTGAGCGTGCGCATAAAGGCTTAGGCATAATGTGTAGTATATATATATATATATATATATATATATACTACACACTTTAAACAAAGGTTATAAAGGATTACAAAACACTTGACAGTTCGTCCCGATTTTGCCTCAAGGAGTCACGGACATATTTTTTGTGCAGTTTCGGTCCGTAAATATAGTACGTGTTTTCTTACTATTAACCTAAGATGTGGTCCGTGTATAAGTCCCCCGTATATAAGCCCCCCCCCCCATGTATAAGCCCATCAAAAAAGGCTTATGAAATTATATAAGCCCAGGGCTTATATTCGGAAGTTTACGGTATATATATATATATATATATAGCGGGTGATGCCATTTTTTAGGTAATGATAATGATTTTAAAATATTCAATATCGAACTTTCTCTTAGCCTGGTTTATTAATATAGACATAAGCTATTTAGATAATATATTGTATTTTTAACCTAATGATGGAGTGAACTCCGAAACGTCGTTTTTAATAGAAAAATGTTAAGCCTTGTTCTTGGCGATTACTAACACAAAAAAGTCTATAATGATTTTAGTAATCTCTACTTGATCACCTTGATCCTGTCATTATTTGTGGATGTCGGAAATTCGGAATCTTTAATTTCATGTCTATATTGTGAAAATCTGCACATTTTATCTGATAGTTTTTTTTTAGTTTTTTGTTTTGATAGATTTTTGTTTTTGTTTTTTTTGTTTGCCTATCGAGTAGGCAATTGGGAAAACCGTGGAAAGATATATTAAGTAACTACGCAATATAATATAGTAAAGGCGGATTTCCAGTCCTCGCACGAAGCTCCTTGTAGCTCGCTGCGAGTGATGCATGAGCACTTTCATCCAATCACAATGCTAAACAGTTCATTTTAATTAGATGCAAGCACTCGCAGCGAGTTGCGAGGAGCCTCGTACGAGGACTGGAAAACCGCCTTAATACGTAGGGCTCGATTAGCCCATCGGGCAGGCAGGCGATCCCTAGTGGGCGCCAGCTTCTCTATACAATTGTGAGGTCTCTTAAAATGTGGTAGGAAATTACAACTATTCAGATGAAAACTAATAGAATTATATATTCACTTATAGAATTATATATTGCTTTGAACTCAATTAAAATTCGAGTCAAACAAAGTGAATTTCTATATGATATTCCGCTTTATTAATATTCGGTGTATAACGGAAAACCCTCCAAGTTACCGGTTATAACGTCCAGTTTCGGGATGGCATGTATAATTAATGAATGTCACCACAAGAACACAAATATACCTGCACTATAGACATTGAAAGTTTGAATAAATAAGTGACAAGTGTTTACAAACTACTTGAAAATATGAATGTTAAAAGCTTTTAGTAAACTTCGATGTTTTTAACCAGAAATGAACAAACCAGGGAAAAATGTAAGTATACAATGAAATTTATTTTGAAAGAATGTTCATCGCCCAAAGTCCTCGGCAAGCAACAATATGTTTCCCAGCCATGCTTCCTGAAGATGGACAAAACCCGGAAACATTGTTTCCACCGGGAAATCACACTTGGCCTTGGGACACAAAAATGTGATATCGCAATCGTTATAAGACGAAGTAAAACGTGAACCCTTTAAAACTGGGCTTTATGCGGTCAGAAATTGTCAGTCATATCGATCTTGTGTTATAACATATACTGTCAATATTGCCTTCATTGGGTTAAATGCGTGATCAATTTTATAATCACTTCGTTTTGAGACCGTTTCAAATCTATTATTCAAATTGTATAGTAGCATGACCAGCGTGATTTCATTGTATAGCGTTCAAATATAATGCTCTCAGAAATCTTAACACTCTTAAGTGTGCTAAAAGTGCAGGAGAATGAACTGAAATTTTCTATTCACATTGGAAATTGGTAGACTATAAACATACAGACATAGTTCTGCTAATTGTAATAATAAAATTGCAATGTTTTTTAAATTAAGAAAGTTGACATAATTTACTTGTCCTTTAGATTTTAATAAAGAAGTTTAATTTTTGTCAATTATTTAAATACCTATTCATACATTTTGTTTAAACAGTTATCATCAAAGTTTACACACGAAGAGGTGGAAGGTACGAGTAAGCTAAATACAGTCAAACTTGTGATTAAGCCGTTACCCTAGCTCGGGGATTTCGCCAGTGACTGCTTAAATCAGGGACGTAGGAACCGGGGGGCACAGGGCCCATTTTTTGAAAGGACCAAAAGTGCCCTTTTTGTGATGAAAAGTGCCCTTTTTGTACAAGTTAATGTCGCTGTAAATACTATATTAACATCGAAGGTGCCCTTTTTGTTTGGAAATTTTGATGTTTTCAAAACATTTTGCATTCAGATTATCACTCTGGCATTCAGATTATCATAAAATGTGTCTAAAATGCACGGAATAGCGTTTCCAGACTCTAAAACAATTTCCATCGGAAGATTAGACCCCCCCCCCCTCGTTTGGGAATGGCTACGCCCCTGCTTCAAACAATAAATAAAACAACATCGAACCATATTTACGATCTCATTCTTGGGGGGTTGGGGGCTGGCTTAGGTACAACAGACCCTTCCAAGGTTAACGACGCCATAATAAAACACAATTGCAATAGTGCAAGGGGTGCAAACACAATGGAATTCCCTATAGGTAAATTTGCCAGGGGGGCAAACACTGACGGTGAAATCAATATATTCAAGATGGCGTCCTTAACCTTGGAAGGGCCTATTATAGAATACCATCCGGTGAGTCATGCGTGCTAGGTGAACACATGGCTATTAATTTTTTAATTGGTATAGGTCAGAGTTAGGAAAGGGTTTGGATAAGGGCCAGGTATAAAATTATTAGAAATTTATCTATTTTATCTGTTGAATTTTTACCATCAGAACTACATTGAAGCTTTGAATCAAGCCTGGTATTTTATAATTCTCCGTCGATTACTAGAGATTAGAGGAGTTTATCGAGCCAATGGCTGTGAAACGTACGAAGGAAAAAATTTCGCATGCAAAAGAATTAGTTTAATCCCACGTCAACGGATGCAATTATGTCTTATGAGCGAAAGAAAGAGCTTTATTTCAGTTCTAAGTTATAAACTCGCAAATTGTAATATAACCATGCATGGCCACGCATCATTGCGACGTTCTAAGCTAGCGTTTCAGATTATTGATCAGGTGGAACAGGGGAAAATTTTACGGAATTTTAATCATTCCCAAAAACATTTTCCCCAAACTTTAGGACCAAGTTCAAACACTATGAGAATATTTAATGGCATAAAAACCGGCATTTGTATATGCCGTGAATATCACGAGTTTTCAGCTAGCGAGAATTTTTAGACTGATCGATCATGCGTGAGTTGGTAGTCATGCATGCACGAGTAATCACGCGACCTTCCGACCATCATGTATTTCACAGTAAGTTAAAACGTAGTAAGAACACAGTGTTCTGAACACTCGTCAAACTTTTATTTTGTTAACATGGAGCTTGAAATGCCCCCCTCCTGTAACAATATGGACTTTAAACATGTAGGACGGCAACGTTACGACGGAAAATGAAGTCGTTGTAGTGGATGATTGTATATTATCCATATGGTTTAAGGATCGATGACCAAAGATAGGGCCAGGGACGCCAGAACTGGGGGGGGGGAGCAGGAGGGGCAGCTGCCCCTCTTGTCTTTTGCTAGGAGGGGCAAGGGGGGCAGAAGTGTCCTTTGAGTTACAAAATACTACCTGATAAATCACATTTCCAGTGATGCTTTTTGGGCAAAATCATGAGGCGTGATCTTGAATGTGACCTGATTAAGTGCGTTTGCTTTCATTGGCAAGTCAACACATAATTGTAGGTTTATATCTTCACCGGGGTCTATAGAGGTGCCCTTTGGTGTGCGTTTGCCCCCCTTGCCTTTTTATCGTTCCGGCGTCCCTGGATAGGGCTTTATGGTTGAGAATAATGCTGGGAGGCAATATGAAATAGCATTTGTGGCAGCCGTTCAGTGAACACAAGACGTGACGAAAACGGAACGGAGACGACGTCTAAAAGCCAACCCCGCGAGATTTTAATTAATAATTTATTTTCTATATAAATATTATGAATTTTATTGTATTGGTAGCCGTCGTGCTGGAGCAGTAGAAGTTCCTAATAACGGCAAAACTGCAGACCACAGCTTTTGAAGAGTAAAATTTAAGGCCGTTTCTTGTCAGGTCTCCGCACTAGATTAAGCCTTAAGTTCGCTATGAGTGAAATTTTGATCTAGACAAGTCTAGACAAAAATAGTTTCATCACAGCTTGAAAGAGCATCACAAAATTAGTAATATTCCGAAGTTTCGTTGTAAAATGTTGTAAAATGCGGATAATATAGCCTTGCGAAGTTTGCCGTTTTTCAGTCATTTTGTATTACAAATGGGAAATTGATAATCAGTTTGATTATCTGATTATCAATTTCCATGCATTTGTCATGCAAAATGACTGAAAAACGGCAAACTTCGCAAGGTTATATTATCCGTATTTTACAACATTTCGCAACGAAACTTCGGAATATTACTAATTTTGTGATGCTCTTTCAAGCTGTGCAGACTCAGTCTAGATCAAAATTTCACTCAAAAGGGGAAAGGTCTATTCGCGACAGCAAACACTCATCAACTTTCCGTAGCGACGTGAAAAAACGCCTATCCGTACCTTTTAGGAACGCTATTTTCAGAGGAATTATTGCAAAGGAAAGATGTTGTTTCGCTCAGCTTTTGAAAATTGTACATTCCGTTTCGGATATAGGTGTTCCGCGGTATATCTCGCTCGAAGTTAAAAATAAACCCAATGGAAGTCAATCTATTATTGCAGACGTGTTCGAAGCATTGCAATATTTCACGTTTTACCAGATCTAAAATATAGTAAAACGCTCCTAATCGTACTTTAATTTGGCCACGCTTCATTGTGGCGTCCTAGAATTCAGCAACATAAGCGTTTTAAATTAAACTGATCAAGTGGAACGGATGAAAAGTTCACGCTATTTAATTTAGAAATCCCAAAACATTCGACCGTAGGCAAAACTATAAATACATAGATGAGGTCACACAAAATATAGTCGAACAAAAGATCAAAACCAAGTGACATGAGTTAGTCCAAAACCAAGATTTTCAGCTATAGTGAGAATTTAATGATAGTCTTAATTATAGTATATACCGCGTGTGATTGTTCGGCTAAGACAATGTACTGTATAGATTAATTATTCGTCAATGGTACAATACTAACTGTACAGGCAGCTAAATGGCCGACTGTATCAAACATTTGACTAAAATATTGATATAATGAATAAAACTGTGCATGTCTTGTAAAATATGGCGAAAACGTAATCTCTATAAACAATGCAATTACGTTGTTCTGCATGGATACCTGTATGCATCTATAGCTACTCATGCACTACATAGTGATCAGTATATTTATTCCTATTATTACTAAATATTTCTGTCGCTTGACTGAAATGTAGAAGTTTTGCACCCGCTAATTATGGAATACATTGTAATTTCATCTCGGCAAGCGGGATGAAACACTCCATATGAACGCTCGGAAATATTCGTCTCGCTACGCAAGACGACTTGGTGCGATCATGTGAACAATTACCATGTCTGATAAAACACGGATGAAAAGTTCACGCAATTTCATTTAGCAATTCCAAACATTTGATCCAAAGTTTAGGCCACAGTAAAAAAATGTATACATATGAGCTAGGTCGAACACATTTTGTCGAACAAAAATCAGAACCAACTGTCATAGGTTTCTGAACCACGACAGTCCATAATTATAATAGTAGGTGGTGCGTGACATCGCACACCCAAAACAATGTCTGATACATTATACAGAGTTATTAAAACTGAGAACTACATATTTTTTTACGAACAGTAAATACTATACTTTACAGTTATAACTTCAGAATGAAATCTTATAAAGGGTACAATTTATGTTAGAGATTGATGACTAACTATACTAGTTGAAAAGCTCAAAATGAAGGAATCAAGACATATAATATTCTTCTACCTTACTTACTTTTTACAATGAAGATACAATGTCGACAACCTTCGGAATACGTCGGTTCAAGTTTCTCTTTCAAATACTCAGAAAGTTTTGTCGCAAAGTTTGCATCAACCCGGCACTGGAGCTGGACGCTTTCTGACGCGAACAGCACAGCAGCAATGCAATAAGTATACAGTGGGCGTAATTGCATATGTATAGGTGCGGACGTTTATGCGTAATCCGCGTTTAATTAATCGTATCTAAATTATGATAAAATGTTTTAAATGGCACAATTATTAATTAACATGTTATGCCTTGACATACGTAGGAAATACTTTCGAGTTTGTTATATTGGGTGTGTGGATTGCTCTAAAATCACTCACGTGTAGCCATCCGTATATCACAGACACGATTTTGCGCGAGTCGTCGTTAAATCAGGCCTTAATATGCACACATAGGCGTACGGGAGCGAAAAAAATAGTGGGGCAGAAAGAAATTTGCCAGACTTTTTTCCATTTTGCCCGAATTTATATGAAACAATTTTTCCGCGTAAAATTCACAAAATGTTTATTGGACGGGGGGAAAGGGGTGTTTGGAAAATTTTCCCTTACATACTTCTTCCATTTCCGACCAACCTCGTTCCCAGGGCCATTTTTGAAAAAGGCCCTGGGAACGAGGTTGACTTCAGAATATTATTTTACATATTGTCTTGCTTTTAAATTTATTTCCTCTCTCTAACTGCCCAACTTCAATTTTTCTTGGAGCAGGTGCGGCCCCCATGCCCCCCCCCCCCACCTTGTACGCTTAGGCCTGCACCTGATGAGGTATAACGACGGACTTTGGCTATTTTTATGCTGTTTTAGACAATAAAATCACAACCTCCAACCCCCACCTCCACCCCAACTGGGGTCTTTATCCCGACCAAAAGTCAAAACTCTAAAACTCAACCACCAACACCGAGTGTCTGCAGGTTGTTGGTTTTTGGTTAGGATAAAGATCCCAGGTTAGGGCTGGATGTGGGTAATAGGTTTACGATTTTATTGGACTTCAATGATTTGGATTCTTGCACTTCACTTGGTGGAATTAATATTAGAATGTTTGGAACATTCTAATATTAATTCCACATTCTAACATCAATTCCTAACATTCTAATATTAATTCCACCAAGTGAAGTGCAAGAATCCAAATCATTGAAGTCCACCTAATCACAACCCGCACACCCGATTACCTATATATACATGAACTTACGGTTACAGCTCAACAGCTGGCCCCTGTAGCTCAGTTGGTTAGAGCGCTGCACCGGAATCGCAGGGCCGTAGGTTCAATTCCTACCAGAGGACCTTGTGCTGCATTTTTCGCAGTCGTTCCTGGTTAGGTCTTAAAATGTATATATACTCACTTGGATTACAAACCCTGTCAAACCCAAACATATTCACTTGGATTACAAACCCTAACATTCTAATATTACGATTTTATTGCCTAGAACAGGGCAGGAAAAAAGAATTTTCTCCCTGGGACTGAGCAGAACCTGGAAACAAAAATTTCCTGCAGACCAACGGAGTATTTTCGTACTAAATCTGCATGTTCATAAATATATAGTGATCTAGCTGACCATGGTTTTAAATTCAAGGAATGTCTGTCAACCATATGCTGTTGCGCCCATAGTGGGACATGAGTGTTAAGGTTTTCTTCAAATTTTCAATAGCAAATCTTCATTCAAACGAATTTCCTGCAGCCGTTTAACATATAAATAGCCAAAATTATGTATTTCTTTTCTGCGTACTGACTTCATAAATTTCATATTGCATAAACAACCGTAGCCGTATTCATAGCTAAAGGTCCTTAGTTTGGCAAACACAACGTCAATGAAAACGTGCTCATTGACAATAGCATTTTTAAGAAAAGGCGACTATAAATTGTATTCACTTGACCATTCTAGTTGATACCGTTTGAGAAGTTTTATGCCTTTGGGAAGTTTATGCTGCAGCTGAGGGCTAAGGTTTAAATGGTTGCATTTCCGCCCTCTCCGAGGGTTTAAGTATTCGGCAAAATTTTCTCAGGAATTAAGCATTCCCCCGAACACCCCTAGTAGATCTAGCCACGTATCCCATTGTGCTAATAATTTCTCCAAACCAAACACCTCATGATGCTTGAATATACTCATGAAAAACCACAATAAGCTTGAAATATTGTCAGTCGCTTAAAAGGACTCTTATGACATGTAGTCAAAAGGACTCTTCGGTCAAACGACTCTTAATTAATTATGGTTAACGGAACTGATTTATATTGTGAAGACTCTACCTTGTTCAGCTGGTGAGACAATTTACTATAAAATCACAGTTACAATAAAATAAAACGCTCCTAATCGTACTTTATTAATCTGGTCACGTTTCATTGCAGCGTCCTAGAATTTAGCTACACAATTAAGCGTTTTAAATTGATCAAGGGGAACGGTTGAAAAGTTCACGCTATTTAATTTGGAAATCCCAAAACATTCGACCGTATAGGCAAAGCTAGAAATACATATATACAAGGTCGAACAGAATATAGTCCAACAAAAGATCAAAACCAAGTATCACGAGTCCAAAATCAAAATTTTCAGCTATAGTGAGAATTGAATGATAGCTCTAATTATGGTCAATATAGCTGCATGATTGCTCACCTGAGACAATGCATGTCAATGGTACAATACCTACTCTACAGGCAGCCAAATGGCTAGCTGTGTAAAACATGACTAAAATATTGATATTATGAATAAAACTGTGCATCTGTTAAATATGGCAAAAATGTAATGTCTAGATAACAATGCAATTCTGTTCTTCTTCATGGATGCCTGCTTTTAATTGGGCGACGTCACTGATGCACTACATTGTAATCAATCAAGATTTTATTGGCATTTCACTCGATTGAATACTAGTTGAAGAGTGCTACAGGGTTCGTACACCTTCTCACATTTAAAATTCCATGACTTTCCCATGACTTAATTCCCATGACCATTTTTTTCAAAATCCATGACCTGGAAGTCTGGAATTTCTGAAATTCGTTAATATTTTAACGATAACAGATATATTAAAAGAACAAAATTCACTTCGCTCTTGCAAAAATCCGTTATATAACAACAATTCATATTATTGTTATGACTGGTAAATTGAAGTAAGTAAAATACTTTGTTAATGTTATGTAAAATTTCAATTTTCCATGACTTTCCATGACTAAAAATGTAACGATTTATCGAAATACCACGATTCTCAGCTAGTGAGAATTTAAATGAAAGACAGTCCATATAGTTATCACATCAAATGGTGCGTGATAACCATGGTACATGTCCATGATACATCCAAAACAATGTCTGATACATTACAGATACAAAGTTATTAGCAAAACTGTTAAACAACATAAAATTCACAAAATTCTTGTCGGACGGGGGGGAGGGGGTGTCTGTAAAATTTTCCCTTACATACTTCTCCATTTCCGACTATTAATCTTATACATATTTCTTTCTTTATTTCTTCTATTATCTTGCATATTTCTTGCTTACGCTTATGCCTGCATCTGATGAGGTAACGATGGATTTTGGCTATTTTGATGCTGTTTTAGGCAATAAAATCATAACCTAACCCACCTCGAACCCCCACCTGGAGTCTTTATCCTAACCAAAAGTCAAAATTCCAAAACTCAACCACCAACACCGAGTGTCTGAAGGTTGTGCTGAGTGGTTATATTACTACCTTAAAAAATAAGCAGAAACTCGACGTTTCGAGCGAAGGCCCTAACTTGGCTACTAACTCTTGACGAAGGGCCTTCGCTCGAACGTCGAGTTTCTGCTTATTTTTTAAGGTAGTAATATAACCACTCAGCACAGCATTTTCACATTGGTACTACCAACACTGGTACAAACAGTTTTAGTATATATGTCTGAAGGTTGGTGGTTTTTGGTTAGGATAAAAATCCCAGGTTATAGGTTGGATGTGGGTTAGGTTTATGATTTTATTGCCTAGAACATAAAAATAACCAAAATTATGTATTTCTTTTGTAGCACTTCATAAATTTCATTGCATTAACAGACGTCGTCGTCTTCATAGCTAAAGATATTTAGTCTGGCAGACACAACGTCAATGAAGGCGTGCTCATCGACAATAGCATTTTTAAGAAAAGGCGACTATAAATTGTATTCCTTGGGTATTCTAGTACGTCGTAGTTGTTTAAGTAGTTGATATCGTTTGAGACGTTTTATACCTTTGGGAAGTTTTATGCTGCAGCTGAGAGCTAAGCTTTAAATGGTTGATTTCTGGCCTCTCTGAAGGTTTAAATATTCAAACTTTTCTCGGGGAGCATTCCCCCGAACACCCCTAGTAGATTTAGCCATATGTATCCCATTGTGCTAATATATTTTCTCCAAAGGCAAAGAAACACCTGATACTTGAAATCAATTTACTCGTGAAAAAACACACTAAGTTTCAAACACTATCAGTCGCTACGTCCCCGAACGCTATAATGAAATAGGACGATAAAAGGACTCTCATGACATGTAGTCAACAGTAATGCATGGTTGATATAGTAATGCATGGTTGCATGCACGCATATATAATCAACTAAACACTTAAATATGTTTGAAGCGAAACCAGGATTATTCATAATAAGTTTTTAGACGTTCTCTGGTTTTTAAATATTTATTATTACGAGCTTTCACTGCCAGTCTGCAGTCTTCAGACTGCCAGTTTTCGACTGCCAGTCTGCTGCCAGACTGCGAGCTTTCGACTGCCAGTCTGCAGTTTTCGACTGCCAGTCTGCAGTCCTCAGACTGAAGACTGCAGACTGGCAGTCGAAAGCTCGTAATAATAAATATTTAAAAACCAGAGAACGTCTAAAAACTTATTACAACTAAACACTGTTTCAGAACACCGTGTGCACACTATAAAGTATTTCATATCGTTCCAAAACAGTATTCCAAATGTTCTAGAGCAGTAAATAACATAGACAATGAGTTATATTGTTATTCTAACGAGTTTCATGGCCATCTTCCCTTCGATAGGCTATGGGCTAAACGAGTCTACTTCTGGAGGTGGTCTGAGATCGACCCAACGCAATCCGCGCGGAATGTGAACGGATGAACGGAAAGGCGAACTCAAAGCGAACCGAAACTCGATCTGGTTACCAATTGCAATATCGTCTTGCGCGTTCAGATCTGCCGCCGTTTTTATGCGAAATGTCTGCCAGCCGCGGAGATATTGGGACGGAAGAGGAAACAATTCCGCTAATAAATACACGGGGAAGCCAAAGGCTACAATTAAAACTACAAGGATGTCATAGAAACTCAGATGTATATACCAATTGTATAACAGAATAATAAAAGAAGCAGGGGGGGGGGTTGTGCTGACAGCAGCTGGAAGCAATGCAAAACTAAATGTAAACACTTGAAAGCTCAGTAAAAAAGCATAAAGATTCGACGAATCTTCCTACGTCTTGACGAAACAACTTTGATAACACCACCGTCGGCCATTTAAATTTTCCCGCAGTTCGGCTGAGACCTAAGTGTGAACGCTCCCCAAATGCGAACTGAAATCGATCCAATTGTGAAATGAGATCGATCCACTTTGAATCGATCGAAGTGTGAACAAGGCTTCACATAGTTAATATATACAACTGGTTTAAATTGTCTGTTTATATTGTCATGCAAGACTCCAGCTTGTTCAGCTGGTGAGACAATGTCAATGTACGATATAATCACAGATAGAAACTTCAGTTTTAAACAACTGTGTAAAGGCCCTATAGTTTTTAAGACTAAAGGTTTGCACAAGGGCAGGAGCGATTTGAAAACGACGCAGAAAAGTCACAATTAGCCGTTGCGTTCACACTACTCGGAGCGCCAGCTGCTTGTACGATACGAAACTAAATTGCGACAGTGTCACGACAGTTACATAAACCATACGGAAATCAGCATAAAAATCATTCATGAGTTACAACGATATGGAAGTTGCAATTCTTACACGGAACACTTCAAGCTCTAGATTAACAAAATAAAGGTTCGATAAGTGTTCCAACTTTACGTTCAAACTTATAAAGTAAGATTAGAACAGCAGTTACAGCATAGCTATTACTAACCAAGGTCGCGTGATTACTGGTGCATGCATGCATGCATATTGACAGTTCTCATGCACACTCTTAAAACTTTGATTCAAACTTTAGGCCAATTAGTTAAAATACGTACAAAATCAAACAGAATATAATCGAACAAAAATGAAAACCAAATGTATGCCATAAATGTCATGATTTCAAAACGCCAAGGTTTTCAGCAAGTGAGAGTTTAATGAGAGCCTTAATTATAGGAGGAGTGTTATCCTTGGCTCATTATCAAGCCAAAAATAGTATATAATCACAACTCAAATTATACCTATTTTTTTGAACATTCAGAGTTCAGATCAAGCCAGCTAGGGGTTTCAGGCCATTTTACTTTTGGTATACAGTATGCTATTGTTAAAATATGTTGAAATATGGGTATAAAGTATCTCACATTCACCGGCGATTAAGTACTCAAGTTGACAGACATAGCGTCATAGAATTAAATGCTGGTATATTCAGCCAGTATTATCGAGTAGATTGCTATTCTGGTAACCCCTTGGTTAGACTCGAGAGTTGGGAGGGGATGTTACAACCTCTATCCCCCCCCGCCTCGCAACGTCGCTGCCGGCCTGTCTCCATGAAGGATTTCCCAAAATGTTTTATTGGACGGGGGGAAGGGGGTGTTTGGAAAATTTTCCCTTACATACTTCGTCCCATTCTCGTACCCAGAGCCTTTCTTACGCGCGGTGCGACGAGGGGCTCTGGCCAAATCCATAACCGGATACCATAAAAACATGGTAAGAAAACAATGTCCGGTGTTAAAACTAGCCAATCAGATGCCAGTTCGGAATATGGATTTGGCCAGAACCCCTCGTCGCATCGCGCGTAAGAAGGGCTCTGGGTACGAGAATGACTTCTTCCATTTCCGACCAACCTCGTTCCCAGGCCCCTGGGAACGAGGTTGATTTCCGACTATTATAGACCAATTGCGAAACTTAGTGACCGCGCCTTCATACTGCACGAAAACGAGGCTTATTATGCAAAAACAAATCATTCTGCTATATTTTTATACGGCGAAAAATGAATTTCAGTGTTTGAGACGTGTTTTTATGGTAATCCCTTCATTTTTTTCAATATTTCTGTTTTGACTATGTAAATCTTTACTAAACTTGTTCATAGATTTAGTCTTACTTCAAATTTCATTGTTTTTCGCGGCGTGCGAGGCAATGTTTTGCTGTTTTTCGCTGTCCGATAAAAGAAGCAGATTGTGCCAGGCAAAGAATCAGGTATTTTCCGTCTGTTTTATTAATACATTGCAAAGAATAAGTTCTAACATTGATTAATTTTGTTTCAGTTGTAATATAATAGCAAGTTTTCGATTTTAACTTTAAAAATATGAAAGTAAATGTCGGGCAAAATTTGTAGAAATTTTATGAATTTAATATGTTATTATTTTTTGACAAAATCTTTTTCTCGCACGAAGTCTAAAAAACTCTGGGTAGAAAGAGTTATACTTTAGTTTGTTAAGTTATTCTGGCTATTTTTTTTGCATCTTGATCAGATTTTAAACTCTATATTGATCTTTTCGATATGTTTGTTCCATCGCATGCTAAAACAACAACGAAATATCTCTCCATAGCGGGTAAAAATATTGTGGGAAATCGATGTTTAGATAAATTTAACAAATATTTATATCACCTAGCAGAAATATTAAGAAAAGATCAAAGAGATTAAATAAAAAACACTTTTAAAACCCTAAAATTCACCTTTCGCTATATAAAAATATAGAAATTGTTTTGTTTTTGCATAATAAGCCTCGTTTTCGTGCAGTATGAAGGCGCGGCCACTAAGTTTCGCAATTGGTCTATCTTACATATTGTCTTGCTTCTAAATTTAATTTCCTCTCTCTGTAACTGCCCAACTTCAATTTTTCTTGGAGCAGGTGCGGCCCTCCATATCCCCCCCCCCCCCTTGTACGCTTAGGCCTGCACCTGATGAGGTAACGACGGATTTTGGCTATTTTTTATGCTGTTTTAGACAATAAAATCATAACCTCCAACCCCTAACCTGGGGGCCCTGGGGTCTTTATCCCAACCAAAAGTCAAAACTCTAAAAATCAACCACCAACACAGAGTGTCTGCAGGTTGGTGGTTTTTGGTTAGGATGAAGATCCCAGGTTAGGGTTGAATGTGGGTTAGGTTTATGATTTTATTGCCTAGAACAGGACAGGAACTGAAGAATTTTCTTCCTGGGACTGAGCACAACCTGGAAACAAAAATTTCCTGCAGACCAACGGAGTATTTTTGTACTAAATCTGCATGTTCATAAATATATAGTCCTCTACTAGCTGACCATGGTTTTAAATTCAAGGCGTGCTCATCGACAATAGCATTTTTAAGAAAAGGCGACTATAAATTGTATTCACTTGACCATTGTTGTATCCAAATGCTGATTGGTCAGCTGAAGTGATTGACATATAAGATTAGGTCACGAGACATTAGATTAGGAGACGCTAAGCCAGAGAGCAAGTATATATGTATAATATAGCAGAGTAAATATATGTTATAAAAGTTGAATAACGGAGGATATAAAAGTGGCGACGAGGTCCTAAAAACCCTAAAACTATATTATGGATACCGAAGGTCAAGATATCAATGCTGAAAACGCATCATCATCAACAACGTCAAACGCTACAAACGCGACAACAACATCGCAAGTTCCACGCAGTGGTTTACCGCCGTTTCCTCCCTTTAATCCACACCAAGATACAGCAACAGTGGGTCAAAGATGGACTAAATGGGTTCGTCGTTTCGAAAACTTGCTTATAAGTCTTCGTGAGTTTGATTCAACCGTTAGGAGAGGTTTATTGTTAACCTATGTAGGCGAGTCAGCCAACGACATTTTCGATATTCTTCCCGACACTGGCACAACTTATCAAGAAGCGATCGATTGTTTCACCCAACACTTCGTGCCACAAGGAAATACAGACATGGCTATATTCGATTTTCGAGAGCTAAAGCAAGGATCCAACGAAACGCTCAACGAATACTACCGTCGACTGAAGACAAAAGCAGTACAATGTAATTTTCACAGCGAGGAAGCCGAGATTAAAACCCAAATTATTCACAAAACCCGCGATTCCCGGTTAAGAAAGAAAGCGCTTCGTGAGACGATGACTCTCAAACAAATTCTCGACTACGGGAATACCTTAGAACGTACAGATGAACAGTCTAAACGCCTCGATAACGCCAGCAAATTCCAAAGCGAAAGTAACGAAACAGTAAATTATAATTACAACGAAAAGAATTCAAAACAACATCGAAAATTTCCAACTTCCGGTGGATCAAATTCCAGATACAGGACGCCCAAGAAGCCTGATTCGCGTTTTCTAGGAAATAAATACCAGAAAGAAGCTCCAGATAGCGGTCGAAAGTCCCAAACCTGTCGTAACTGTGGAGGTAAATTCCCGCACAAAGACGGAATAGAGTCCTGCCCAGCTAGAGGTAAACCTTGCCACAACTGCAAGAAAATCGGTCATTTTGCAAAATATTGCAGATCTCAATCTAAGGACAGTGGAAATGTCAGACATGTCAACCAAGAGAAAAGTCGTGATTATCTTCAAGAATCGGACGATGAATTTCTTTTTACTGTCAACACAAGCTCGGGTAAACATCCAGAAACGCAAGTACAGATTGGACACACTAAAGTAAACATTCTGATTGATTCCGGAGCCTCTGTTAACCTTCTGAACTACCCAATTTTTCAACAAATTCAGAAAGACGACAACCGTATCAAGTTACAAAAGACCAATGCCAGAATCTTTGCATATGGAACACCAACACCACTCGAGTTAGCCGGAGAATTTCAAGCTATCATCACCTCAGCATCAGGTACATTCAAAATTGCTAAGTTTTACGTAGCACAAAAGAAATCTAAGTGTATTCTTGGATATGAATCATCTTCCTCATTGGGACTTATCATCCTCAACATCAACACCCTCAACCCGGTTCAACAAGATCATGATGTACGTCGCATTATCAACAAACATCCAAAGCTATTTGAAGGAACGGGAAACCTCAAGGGACGTGAAGTGAAGCTCGAAATTGACCCAACAATAACCCCGGTCGCACAAACAAATCGGAAAATTCCACACAGCATGAAAACCAAAGTAAACAAAAAGCTGCAGGAGATGAGAGAAGAAAGGATAATCGAGAAAGTTGAGGGAGCAACGCCTTGGTTATCACCGTTGATAGCCATCCCAAAGAAGAGTGGGGACCTCCGACTAGTGTTAGACATGCGTATACCTAACACAGCACTTGTAAGACGGCGCGTACAAATTCCTACAGTCAACGAGATACTTCAAAAGATGGAGGGAGCAAAAGTCTTTACAGAGGTTGACCTGTCGCAAGGTTATCTTCAACTGACCTTGGCAGAGGAATCCCGTCATATTACAGCATTTTCAACTCCTGAAGATGGTCCGCATAGATTCACCAGGCTGATAATGGGAGCATCACCATCCGGAGAACACTTTCATGAGATTATCCACGAGCTCATCAAAGAGGTACCAGATTGTGCCAACATCTCTGATAACATTTGGCTATGGTCCAAAGACAGAGAAACACACCTCAAGCGGCTAGACCAGCTCCTCACAATCCTGAGAACCAATGGCATCACACTCAAACTACCAAAGTGTTCGTTCGCAGTACCGCAGATAAACGTGTTTGGTCATATCGTGTCCGAGAAAGGAATCAGACCAGATAGCACCAAAGTCGAAGCCATAACAAATGCTCCACATCCTACAACAGCATCGGAAGTCAGATCCTTCCTAGGCCTCACCAATTATTGTTCGAGATATATACCCGACTACAGCAGCCTAACCTTCCCACTTCGACAGCTCACAAAGAAGAATGTCACGTTTCACTGGGATCACAGTCACGAGAAAGCATTCCAGTCACTGAAGAATGCCATCACCACTTCACCGGTATTAGCTCATTACAATCTTACTGCGGAAACCAAAGTCGTAGTAGATGCATCGCCATGGGCACTGGGTGCCGTACTTCTCCAGAAACAAGCCGACGACAATTATCGACCAATCGCGTACGGTAGCAGATCGCTAACAGATGTCGAACAGAAGTATGGTCACATAGAGAAAGAAGGATTAGCAATCGTATTCGGATGTGAACACTTTCACATGTACCTATATGGACGTAGTTTTGAATTGGAGACAGACCACCGACCTTTAGAGCATATCTACAAGGCAAAGCTTCAAAGCAAACCAACATCAGCCAGACTCGAAAGATGGAGACTTCGACTCCAAGAGTACGACTTCCACGTTATCTACCGACCTGGCCCATCCAATCTGGCCGATTCTTTGTCCCGACTCCCGAAAGATGGAAAAGATGGAAGCAAGAGGAGCAACATGGAGGCTTGCGCTGACCGATATGTTCATTACATGACACAAGCACAGACACCGAATGCCATGAAATTAGAAGAAATACAAAGAGAAACATTAGCAGATCCGGAACTCCAGCAGATTAAACAGAACTTGCAAAATAATCAAGTATACAAACTTCCGAAAGCATATAAGCTCATCGCTCATGAGCTCTGCATCACAGATCAAGATATCTTACTTCGGGGTGATCGCATTGTTCTTCCTAACAAGCTGAGACAACAAGCAATTAGCCTTGCACATGAGGATCATGCAGGTATGGTCCGCTGCAAACAACGCCTGCGCTCCAAGCTTTGGTGGCCAGAGATGGACAAGCAGGTTGAAGAACGAATTCGATGCTGTCATCCATGTCAACTTGTCAGTAAGAGCCCGCGACCAGAGCCAATGGAACCAACTAAGCTTCCTAAGAAACCATGGTCGAAGCTAGCCATAGACGTATGTGGACCATTTCCCACTGGAGAACAAGTAGTTGTCCTTACTGACTATTATTCGCGCTGGCCAGAAGTCAAAATCTTAAAATCAGTCACGTCCAAAAACATTCTCGACTGGTTACTATCGGTATTTGCAACTCACGGATTTCCAGATGAAATAAAGTCCGACAACGCATCCTACTTTGTTTCTACCGAGTTCAAGGATACATTAACTTCTTGGGGAATAGAACATAAGACGGTGACGGAATATTGGCCGCAAGCCAATGGGCAAGTTGAGAGATTTAATCAAGTTCTCGAGAAACACATCCTAACCGCACAGGCGGAAGGAAAAGCGTGGAAACCCACCATTCCAATCATGCTACTCCACTACCGCAATACTCCTCATAGAATGACCGGAAGAACACCTTCATCATTGCTAATGAACCGAGAAGTCAAGACGAAACTTCCTAGTTTTGAACAACAGACAAACGATGAAACTGAAACTCGCAAGAAAGATGAAGAGGAGAAAGAGAAATATACCGACAAGAGGCGAAAAGCAAGTCCAAGAAATCTTGAAGTCGGAAATAAAGTACTAGTTACTCAAAAACATCGAAACAAATTTACGACAAAGTTTCATCCTGATCCAATGGTAATCACCAAAATAAACGGCACGCAGATAGTGTTAAAAGACAAGAATGGCACACAACATCGCAGAAACTCATCGCATGTCAAGTTATACCAGGAAATTCCTGATCCTGAAGAAGAAATCCAGAGTGATCGCAAGCATGACAGACAAACGGAAAGTCGCGAAGAAAACACCGAAGCAACTCAAACAGAAACCAACCAGAATACTACAGAAACGGAAATTGTTCTACGTAGATCAACGAGAAATAGAAAACCAGACTATCTAAAAGTAGGTTAAATTAGTCAAGTTTAAAATGCAGACTGTTGACATTTAGTTTAGTTTAAAGAGCACGGTAATGAAACCCGTAATAGTAATTCCAAGACACTAAGTCTTAGAACGGAACTACAAAGTAAAGAACTACATAGAATAGAGATTTTAGAAACTTTAAAGGTTGATATTTTCATAACTATAATTAAGGAAGGGATGTTGTATCCAAATGCTGATTGGTCAGCTGAAGTGATTGACATATAAGATTAGGTCACGAGACATTAGATTAGGAGACGCTAAGCCAGAGAGCAAGTATAGATGTATAATATAGCAGAGTAAATATATGTTATAAAAGTTGAATAACAGAGGATATAAAAGACCTTGAGAAAGCTTGGCAGTCAAGCCGTGCACAGAACTGACTAATTAAATCTTTGTTTGCTGTTCGCCTGTTCGGTTAAATAGAGAAACTGACTCTTAATTATATAAAAGTACCTTGAATTTTTAAGTTTAATTAAAAAGCAAAATGCTCTGCGGACATGTTCATGAGAATATAATTTTTTGTGTAACGAAATCTACAACACTTGTCAATCATATTGCATGTGTATCTAAAAATAACATGTGGGCGTCCCACGGTCTAGACAGGTTTTGTGTCAGGCCCTATTTCAAATTAGGGCCTGAACTTCAGGTTAGGGGGAGAGTGAAGTAAATTGCGCAATGTCGGAAATTAGTCCTCTGGGAACTTTGCCCGGGGTGATGTAATTCCGGGGACGAATGTAACGAACACGTTGTTGATCGGAAAACACTAGCGAAGCGTGAACTACATATCAGATTATATTTGTAAATTTATTTTTGTTTTATTATATATTTTATTAATTTTGTGATTGTGTTGTGAAGACCCGTTTCCAACAGCTGAAGTTTTGTCGCTTCGTACCGTTCCAGTATGGTTAAAGGCAAATGGTCGAAAAGTTAAAGTCAACGCTATTCTGGATGATGCTTCCAATGAAACATTTCTAAATGAACAAGTTGCTGGAGTGTTAGGGCTACAAGAGCCGTACAAGACAGTTAAAGTTCAGGTGTTAAACAATGAGGTTGAAACGTTCCAGTCCATGCCTGTGGAGGTTATGATTGAAAGTGTTAACGGACAGTATCGAAAGGAAATTAGTGTCAAAACGTGCCCTCAGAACGTAACGGGAAGCTACAAAGTAGAGGATTGGTCAAAGAATAAAACCAACTGGCCACATCTTCAGAGTTGTGATTTTGCAACACCAGCAAAGGAAGGTTTAGTGGACTTATTGATTGGAGTGGACAACGCCGATTTACTGTATTCAAGAGCAGATGTTCGGGGGGAACCAGGAAGCCCAATAGCCCGACTCGGACCACTAGGATGGAGTTGCATTGGAGCCACAGAGAAACAGCGAGGAACTGACTGTAGAACGCACACCATTAGAACATTTTTTCCAGGAGTACTGCAGAAATTCCATTCTGTTGCCAGATCGATGAACAGGTCAAGAGATTCTGGGAAGTTGAAAGCTATGGTACAGAGAACATGGTTTCGATGGTTCATACTGCAGAAGATAGGGAAACCCCGAAGTACGTGAAAGAATCAATCAGCCACAATAGTGCAACGTCTAGATACAAGATCGCCATTCCTTGGAAAGAGAATCGTCCAAAACTCCCAGACAACAAAAACAAAGCATTATCGAGACTCGGTAGCAATGAGCCGGAAGTGCGTCTTCGTTTCACCTACCGAGCTTTTGATCAGACTGCTTTAGATTATGCTGGACCGTTCACGACAGTTCAAGGGCGAGGAAAACAACGACTTAAACGGTGGCTTTGTTTGTTTACATGCCTAACCACACGCGTATATTTTTTCAAATCACGCCCCTCATGGAAATCAGCTCCTAGTTGTTGAGGCCAGCGTGCTTAAATAAATTTTTGTATGTATGTATGTATGTATGAGCGGAAGTTGAAGAAGGATGAAATCGTGAGCAGGGAGTATCAAGATACAATTGAATCGTATTTGGAGAAGGGCTACTTGCGGAAAGTCGGAAAAGACGAAGTGATCCCTCCCGAAGTATGGTATTTTCCACATTTCCCAATGATTCGAATGGACAAGACAACGACAAAAGTACGGATTGTTTTCGATTGTTCGGCTAAAACAGACGGACTATCCTTGAACGATGTCATTAATCCTAGACCGAAGTTACAGAAGGAGCTTTTCGATGTATTACTTCGTTTTCGGCGTGATCCAGTAGCATTAGCTTGCGATATTAAAGAGATGTATCTGCAAGTGGAAATTGAAGAAAACGATCGTCCATATTTGTTAGTTCTGTGGCGTGATCTAGACAGTACGAAAGAGCCCGATGTCTATGAGTTCACTCGTGTCGTCTTTGGCAAGAATTCGGCCCCCATGGAGGCGCAGTTCATCGCACAAGAGAATGCAAGACTACACCAAGAAACCCATCCATTAGCGGCAGAAACCGTTTTAAAGTCGACTTATATGGATGACTCGATAGACAGTGTGGAGACAGACGAGATCGGCGTAAAGTTATATCGGCAGTTAAGCTCGCTTTGGAATCATGCGGGAATGCAGGCAAGGAAGTGGGTTTCGAATTCGGAAGCGGTTATTGAGGCGATCCCAGTGGAAGACCAAGCAGTACAGCTCACAATTACTGATGACAAATATCCAGTTGTTAAAACCCTTGGTGTTGCTTGGGACAGCAAAGAAGATATCCTGACACTACCTGCTTCTAGAGTCTCCTCCGACATTCCACTAACCAAGCGTAACGTTTTACGAACGATTGCTGCGGTATTTGACCCACTTGGGTTTGTCAGTCCATTCGTAATGGTCGCCAAGGTTATATTGCAAGAACTTTGGGCTCGCGGCTACGACTGGGATGACACAATCGAAGATGAAATCGCAATTCGGATATCAGCATGGTTTGAGCAGTTACGTGATGTCGCAACAATACATGTGCCAAGGTGTTTATGTGAGAACAAGGTAGTAGCTCGTCGAGAAATGGTGACATTCGTTGATGCTTCACTAAAGTCATACGGAGCTGTTGTTTATTTGAGATGTACATACGTATACGAGGATGGCACTCGCTCTAGCAGATTAATCGCCTCTAAGAGTAAGGTAGCACCGTTGCTACCAATGACGGTACCTAGACTAGAATTAATGGCTGCAGTTCTCGGCCTACGACTTACGCAGAATGTTCTTCGGGCGTTTGAAATGAACATACAGGATGTTAGCTTCTATTCTGACAGTGCTGACGTTCTGTGGTGGATTCGTGGCTATGGGAGAGACTTTCGACCATTTATAGCTAACCGAATTGGAGAGATACAAATGTATAGCAATCCTGCACAGTGGCAGCACGTTCCCACTGCTGAAAATCCTGCGGACCTGTGCACGCGAGGTGCAACCCCGTTGCAATTGTCCGAGTCTACGTTGTGGTGGAATGGTCCAGTATGGTTGGTACAGGATACTTCGCAGTGGCCTCAAATGGATTTGACGAAATCTCCAGTTAATCTTCCGGAAACGAAATCTGCCCACAAGAAGGATAGCAAAGGAAATGCAGTGGTTTCTGATGGTAGTCACAGTCTGGCAACGAAAGCAGAAGTGATACAACCCACAGATATCTGGCGGTTGGATCCAAAACGGTTTTCAGACTGGAAGCACTTGGTCCGCATACAAGCAAGAGTTAGCAGGTTCTTGACGAATTTGAGGAACAAGCAGAAGCGTCAGCAGTGCCAAACCGAGCTCGCACCGGAAGAAATTCGTGATGCTGAAGACGTGATCATTCGTAAGGCACAAGAAGAGTCCTTTGCAGCTGAGTACGCAGCTCTATCGAATGGAAAACCTCTGCCAGCGAAGAGTCAACTGGCGAAGCTTTCTCCGCGCATGGATCAGCAAGGTGTTATTCGGTGCAACAGCCGTCTCTACTACGCTGAGAGCTTACCCTACGACGCAAGATGCCCGATAATTCTGCCTTGCGGACATTGGGTTACCAAACTGATCGTGCGATATTATCATGCATTGGCAAACCACGTCGCAGGAACTAATTTTGTGCTTGCTCAAATCAGCCAAAGATTTTGGATTGTGGCAGCTAGAGAAGAAATAAGAGGATGGGAGAACGAGTGTTGTACATGCCAAAAGCGACGGAATAAGCTGGCTTCTCAAGTCATGGGACCCCTGCCGGAAGTGCGTCTTCGTTTCACGTACCGAGGTTTTGATCAGACTGCTTTAGATTATGCAGGACCGTTCACGACAGTCTAAGGACGAGGAAAACAACGACTTAAACGGTGGCTTTGTTTGTTTACATGCCTAACCACACGCGCCGTCCATTTAGAGGTAGCCTGGGGGCTTGATACTGACAGTTTTCTCAATGCGTTTACCAGATTTACCAGTAGAAGAGGAGTTCCTAAAGAAGTAATCAGTGACAACGGTACGAACTTTGTCGGGGCGGTGAACGAATTAAAAGATCTGGTGAAACTGTTAGACCGAGAAAAGATTCAGCGAGACACAACACAGAAGGGTACTACATGGGCTTTCAATCCTCCTGGAGGTCCTCATTTTGGTGGAGTTTTTGAAATAATGGTTAAGGCAGCTAAGAAGGCCATTTATGCGGTGATCAAGAACAGTGATGTTACTGACGAGGAGTTGATTACTATATGCGCAGGTGTCGAAGGTTTTTTGAACTCTCGACCAATAACCTACCAATCGATGAATCCTTCTGATGATGTTCCACTCACACCCAACCACTTTCTTCATGGTCAGCTAGGCGGAGAATTCGCACCAGAGGTGATCGACATGGACGCTAACCCTCGTGAAAGATGGCGTAAGGTACAAGCAATTCTGTCACGAGTATGGGACCGCTGGTTGAAGGAATATTTACCAACATTGAACACACGAACGAAGTGGACGAACGTGGTAAAAGATTTGAAAGATGGTGACGTTGTTCTGGTCTTAGATAAAGACTTACCGAGAGGAAAATGGCCGTTGGGACGAATCATAGCGACATATCCAGGGAAAGACGGACATAGCAGAGTGGCAAAGGTGCAGCTGGGAAACAAGTCATTGGTCAGACCCATTCACAAACTTGTCCCACTAAGAGTATAGTTTCTTGACTTGTAGATAGAGCCTTTAGTTTGAAAGGACTCGGGACCTTAAACTTGAACATTGATATTATGGACTAGAAAGGAGTTAAAATAGTTAAATCGCACTGCAATTGCATGTTCAGCAGTGCGGGGAGGGGGGATGTTTAGAAGAGATGTGACTTTTACACGCAAAACGCGGAACACGCGCGCAGACAATCAGTGGATTATTGAGGTCAGTGTACTATAGGAAAAGAACGCTAAGTAAACAGTAAACTCGTGTAGGAATTTCGTATTAAAGTTTATTTTCACTGTTTTTGTACTAAATCGAGTACTTTTCGAGGCTAAATATCGTTACATCGCAACATGTACCATGCATTAAACATACTCTTAATAGACCTATTATTATGATATTATATTATTTGAATCTAGTTTTCCGTGAAATTGCTTTCATAAGACACGTGAATCGTGAAACGACTTTTTTTGGTTGTGAAACGTGATCCATGCCCCCCCCCCCCTTTCCCACCCTCTTAAAAGGGTTGAATGTCAAATGCCCGAGTTTATCATTTCGTCTTTACTCACACTATTTCCTTTTAAAACAGTAAATTCATATCAAATCATCGAGTGTTCGGAAAGGCAAAGATTCAGCTAAGCAATGCTGGCACAAATCAATCGTATTTTTATATATGCTGTATGAGTTGCAGACACAGCATGAAACCGATTCTTACATGTGAGATATTGAATAGATCGTGTTTTTTAATAGTTTTGAAGCAAGAAGAACATTTCTTCTTGAGTTCATTGTTAAGTGTGGTCATTGGAAAGTTTAATAGTGCAATATCTGAAGTAAGAAATTAACTATATAAAAGTATGAACTGTGTTTAGTTAGTGAAATATATAAGAAGACTCAGGTTACGGATTGTCAAGACCTAGCCACTCCAAATTAGACTTTAGTTTCCCGTCCTCCGCCCGCGTCTCCCAAAACTGGCCGCATGATTTGTCCATTATTGCTAACTTGTTTCCATTATTCGACCTTTATGACTAAGAATAACGAAAAGCCACAGTTTTCGAATTATTTATCGTTCTAGGAATACATATGATATAATACGTAAAAATCGAAATACAATTGTTGAAACTTTTATGCACGAGCGTGAATTGTTGTTTTTCAGTTCGTTTGACTACAGTAACCGCCGAGCAAGACACTTCCGTTACACGTTTTGATTTTCGAACGTAATAAAAGGATAAGATTAATTAATATCCTGACTTTCATTTCTGCATACAAAATACTTTCAGACACCATAATGATAATGAAAATGGACCGCCCGCCCGCGTGTAATTTGAAATATAAGGGCCGGACGTGAAACTAAAGACTAATTTGGAGTGGCCTAAAAAAAGGTTCGCCGGATTTGGATTGGATTAGGGTTACACTAAGGTTGGATTAGGATTAGCAGTTAGGGGTTAGAAGTTAGGGTGGGGGTTGGGTGGGGGTTAGGTTTAAAATTAAGGCAATGTCTTAATTTGAACGCTTTTTACAATTAAGACATAGCCTTAATTTTCGGAACAGATCGAGCTGAAATAAATACAGAGCTTTATTCGGAAGGGGTAACTGATGGTCTAATGTGATTTCCGTATATGCTGAAATCTATGACGGGTGATGTGTGTCAAAATTCAATAACACATTTGGCAATGATAACGTATTATTTTGCTACAATAATAACACATTTGGCAACGATAAAGTAACGTTTTGCTACAATTCTGTGGCGGTTACAAGACATTTATTAACAATAACAAAACATTCAATGACAAAGTATTATTTTGCAACAACATATTTAGCTAGTAAACGTATCGTTTCAATATTTGCCAACAATCGTACATTTGGCAAGTACAATCTCGTGATGCAATTGGGCACTAGCTCCAAATGAGGCGAAAACGGTGCAAAATGGCGCGTAATTATTTTCGCGATATTGGATTACATGTGCTTTTTAAGTAAACATAGCGGAAAATGAGAGAGCTTTGGCGTCAGATGATATTCAGTCATCTCTACTATACACTCAGGCTAGATATATAATTGTGCAGCTACTGGATGGTGTGGCCAATTCACCACAAAATACATCTGCAAATACTGCAGCTGGTCTCTCAAAATTTCAAATTTTGGTCTATCTGGCATTGACCTTAGGATGATTCCCAATGTTTCCGGTCCGTAATTTTCATTATTCAAAATAGGACGTTGTATGACATTTACGAGAAGTCTGGCCTGATGTAGCAATTCGCTGTAAATTTCGGGATTTCGTGCTGTCAGATTTGCTAGGCATCGATAAAGGTCTTCAGAAAAATCGCGAATACGATCAATAATATCATCAAGCTCTGTTGAAAGGCATTCCGTTACATCAGTCAATAACATTTCCAATGGCGTTATAAGAGCAGTTCGTAGTCCGTTTTCTTCGATATCTTGATCGCCACTTTCTGTGAAAATAATTACGCGCCATTTATGCACCGTTTTCGCGCCATTTGGAGCTAGTGCCCAATTGCATCACGGGATTGTACTCGCCAAATGTACGATTGTTGGCAAATATTAAAACGATACGTTTATGTTGTTGCAAAATAATACTTTGTCATTGAATGTTTTGTTATTGTTAATATATGTCTTGTAACCGCCACAAAATTGTAGCAAAAGGTTACTTTATCGTTGCCAAATGTGTTATTATTGTAGCAAAATGTTACGTTATCATTGCCAAATGTGTTATTGAATTTTGACACACATCACCCGCCATAGAAATCCTGTTTTGGTACGAGATAGGTGGCGTTCGAAGTCAAAGAATTTGAATTGCGATGATAGAACGTAAGCATGATCGACTTTTGTCCAAAACAATCGCGAGTAGAATTCAATATGCCAGTATCGCCCATTTGCTCACATTTCGGCCATGTTAAATTAAGCATAACAAAAATCAAATATGCATAACTGCATAGTAATTATATAATATTAAAACTTCATACGCGTTTCAGTACGACTGAGTTTAGAGAGAGAATTTGGTGATGTAATCTTCGGGGTAGAACAGTAATACAAAAGCAAGGTTATAGGAGCAGCGTGCCGACAGGACATTTTTAACAAACTATCTTCCCAGGAGGTCTTTGTCTCCTTATGTATTGAAATGCGATGTAATTTGCTTCTCTAGAAATATTGCCATTGTGCGAATCGAAACTGAAGTTTACCACAAGGTGTGGCACAGGCACAGCATTGTCATTTGAAACCTACTTCCGCAGGAACTCTAACATTTGGTTTACTCAGGAAATTTTATTTTGGGAGCTTACTTACGGAAAAAAATATTTCATGACTGGATGGTAGTCAATTGTAACAAAAATATCTAATTGATCCATCAATTCCATTTATTGACCACCAAACACAACTACTAGTCCATATATAATGAAAATAATTAATCTTATTTTTCACCCTGCTCGGTTACCTTTGTTCTTATCGGGGAATATATTCAATATTCCCCTCTAATCAATTTCCGTTTAACAATCCCCTCTAATATTCACCTGCAATGTCTTTGCAGCACAAAAAATGAGAAAAAACAACATAACGAAGGCAATATGGCATTAAGAATTATTTCTATTCTGACTCATTAACGCGACCTCGCAATGTGAAAAATAAGTACGTTATTTTGAGGCACCTCGGGGATATGTGTTTCACATACCCCCTCGTTGCCTCAAAATAACCTATACTTATTGTTTTGCTGATGTTATATTGTTCTTGTTTTGAAGTTGAGAAAATGCGGAAATAGGGAAACCTCAGCATAGAGGAAATCATCAGCAAGTGACTTTAAAAGGGCAACGTACTTGGTTACATAAACTTGGCAATCAATTCAATTTTCACAATGTTGGAAGAAATCATCGCTTGTTTTTTGTCATTGTTTTCTGCCTTAACTTTGGATGCGCCACGACTTTCTCGAAAAATGAATGACAATGCAAGTCCATCAGACCAATGTACACGCTATACATGGGAGCAAAAAATTCACAGAGAGTATGTCTCGTTTGAGGAAGAGAATTTACCATCAGAAACAGAGAATGTACAACCAGGGTATGAACTGGGAAGCGGGTTTAGTCATGCCAAGTCATTACTCAGAAGTCTGAAGATGAACTTTACCATAACCTTAGCTGTACTGCCTTTAGTACTTATAGGGATGGCTCTTATATATTTTGATTTAAGAACAGTGGATTTATGTTCTGAATGGGAAGCTAAAAACTACACTCTTTCATTTGATGTTTGGAGAATAAGATTAGTCGGCATAGGAGTTGAGAAAATGCTATTGTATCTCTTGTTTTCCATGACGTTGGTTGTTTTATTTGGTTGGAACGAATTTAAGCGCCATTATTCCTCGACTATCCTAGTAGGCTTACTGGCTGGTTTATTTAATACATTATATGTAAGTTTTTTACTCCTATATGGTATTCATGATACTGGTCCGCTCAAAAGTTACGACGTTCCACCATTTTTAGCATTTCCTGTGGCTCTTTTCTGGGAATCTGCAATTGTGGTGCGCCATATTCGACAAAATCATCCAACTGTATCCTATTCAAGTTGCCATATTTTCATGGTTCTTGTGGTACCGTTGTTGAGCACCAATGCACTGGCAATCTTTTACAGATATGCGGTTGTTATATGGTTTAATTCCCTCGATAATGTGTGGTATAGATTCATTTTGGCGATCTTGACGCCTACCTTAGCACTGGTGCCGACTGCTATATGTAGGCATATGGCATTATGGCGTACTTCAGAAATTATCGAACCAGAGCGAAGCTTCGTGTTGGTTTATTTCACGCGCGCAATATTCATTACTTTGTATCGTGTCATGCAAGCAGACTTTGAGAATATCTGGCTGTTTGTCGGGCTATCTCTTCTATCCGGTGTCTCGAGTTTACTTAAAACAGTGACTGTTGGTATTCGTGAGAAAGTATGGGCACGAGTTATATGGTTTATGAACAAAACATGCTGTACAAGACTTCACCATTTGCCTGGGAACACACCACATCATATCCGGCTTAAAGCAGATACCGAGATACAAAATATACTTTTTGAGAACAATTCACTGATTTTGAGCCAATGCTACATCGTGTTATATAGCATTACAAATTTTCATCTCTCTGACTGGTCGGTCATGAAGTCATCTTTAATCAGAATTACTATTGGATTGGTGATTGAATTCGTGTTCAATATTTTGTCTACTTTTGTTCGCATACATTGGCATGATATTCCCATAGCGCGAGTGTGGTCGAAGTACTGGAAACGACATATGTTTGCTAACGGAATAGTTGTTGTAGTCATAGTATGCTATTTTACTAGACCCTTACTCACAGTATTTCAAGGTCGTTTTCATCATTCTGGTGCAGGGAATTATACTATCAGAAATTGTACTCTGCCTTATGAAAGCTGGCGTTGATTTCACAAACAGTTGTTTGCAAATTATTGCGGGGTGTGACTTCTCCTTGCTTCTCTATTATGCACAATTTCCTATTATCTTTATGTTATCTTTCCTATTTTAATGACTTTAATAAATGTTATCATAGTAATTAATCTTAGCACTAAAGTGCAGGCGAGCTAAAATAGTTGTGTTAGCATAATATTTTTCGTCAGTATATTTTTTTAATAGTAATATTAATATTAGCATAATATTTTTTTGATGACTTTAGCATGAGCATGTTAGACTTTTCTTCACGTACTCTTGAAATGTATAAATTTATTGGATTATGCACGACCCCTATCGATACCAGCGTCTAGTTCAAGCTGACTGGGGCAATCCTGTTTAAATAAAAGTTTTAATCTAACTAGCCAAAGTATTATATATACCCATTGGACCAACAGACCCATAGCAAAAATTTTCATGTGATGAAAGCAATTGAAGTTCATACGGTTCGTTTTAAGTTGTCCGGCAGTCGATGCCGTGTATCAAGGATGGATCTAACTGGATCTGGTAGGGGGTGCGAATCGAGCTTTGGCACTGATCTTATATCTAGGACTGGATAGAGCAACCTTTTGAGTCAACTAATCAAGTGAATTAATTCTGAAGCCAGAGTATTTAAGAGTGAGGAGAGATTATTAAATCTGTCACATCTCTTACGGATCAAATCGTTACGTGTTTATATTAGTTATACTATAAAGCAAATATCTTCTTCTATGTATCTTGGAAGACTAAGCTTCCCACACTTCTTCTAGTAAATTTTAGATCGTTTTAAAGTCGAGATAATGAGACTTGAGGTGGCATTATTGGTGTGACTTCATTGGTTATTCAAGGGGAAAATTTAAAGACCATGTCAAGTCCGATTCTTTGTTTACCTTTTGAACTGCTATATTTGTAAACTAAGACATACTAACTGAATATCTAACACTTTTCCGGTTTGCTATTGTAAATGAATATAAACTAGAGTACGTTTCAATTCAAAAAAGTTCGAAAGATGCAAAATTTGGGTAATGTTAATATCTTCGGAAATCTGCGGGTCCCCTAGCCCTTTGTTATGAGCAGAACGGATGCGCAGAACGGACTTGACATGGTCTTTAAGGCGGGAAAGAGAGGCCACTGTTGATAAATTTGTACTCAAGCCCCGTTTACACTACGCTTAATTTTTGGAACGGCACGGATAAAATTGGTACCCGTACCACTTTTTTGGTTCTTGGACTACCTATTTAGTTAGTCCAAGAACCAAAAAAGTGGTACGGTAGGCCTACCAAAAATTGAGCGTAGTGTAAACGGGGCTTCAGACAATGTTTATCCTTTCCCAACAATAACCAAAAACTGTAAGAACCTCTTCCACTATATGTCACCAACACCACAGTAGATTATGGTGGTAATACCATTGTAGGTATAAAACACCCTTGTTTTTCGCGGGAGCTGAAAAATGACTATAAAGCCCAGTTGCGATCGACGTTTTTCAATTTTTGTAGGAAAATGCTCATTCTTAGAACAAAAAACCTACCTAAAAGCCAAAAATTAAAATTAAACAAAAAGCTAAGATTGATGCAAATGCAGTCCATATTATTCTCTTTTCTTTTCAAATCCCAGATAGACTAGCCCAAAAAACAAAAATTTGCCGATGTTTTTCAGCGGGGCTTTTTCCAAACTTGTTTTTCACTCATCGGAGATAACTTAGTCTTTGCTATTTATATGACGAAGTTTTTCTAAAATTTACTTATTCTGAAAGACCACTTAAGTGTACTAGTATCCTAGGGGCATAGTAAAGCCCGACTTAACAAACAAGGGCTGAAAAATATGAAACTTTTTTATGAAATAAGGCCGATTTTCCATGCTGAATTTATTAAATTTCCGCGCAGGGGCCTGGATCATACCTTCAAAAATCAAGCGCGAGGTTTAGCCCGAGTTACATCCTCGTTCCCTGGGCTTCTCGGCTGTCTGCGAGGTATTGGGAACGAGGATGTTACTGTCTTTGCTTCGGTGATGTTATTGTTGTTACTTAACTTCCTTGTCAAACAATCCTTTGATTTTGAACGCCACGTATCTCGAAACACGACAGGGTTTCAGCCTATAACAAATTATGCATGCATAACTGCATTTTATATACATTAAACTGACGTTATACACATTTCAAAACAAGTAAATTTAATGAGGCAACTTGGTTTAATAAACTTGGCAATCAATTGATATTTTCACAATGTTGGAAGAAATCATCGCTGGTTTCTTGTCATTGTTTTCTGCCTTAACTTTGGATGCGCCACGACTTTCTCGGCGAGAAATGAACGACAATGCAAATCCATCAGAGCAACGTACACGCTATACATGGGTGGATAACATTCACACTGAATATGTCTCATTTGAGGAAGAGAATTTACCATCACAAACAGACTATGTACAACTAGGGTATGAACTGCAAAACGGGCCTAGTTATACCCAGTCATTACTCAGAAGTATGAAGGCGACTTTTACCATAACCTTAACTGTAGTGCCTTTGGTACTTATAGGGATGGCTCTTATATATTTTGATTTAAGAACAGTTGATTTATGTTCTGAATGGGAGACTCAACTGAACTACACTCTTTCATTTCGTGTTTGGAGAATAAGATTAATCGGCGATGGAGTTGGGAAAATAATATTTTTTCTCTGGTTTCCTTTGACTTTGGTTCTTTTGTTTGGTTGGAGCGAATTTAAGCGTCATTATTCCTCGACTGTCCTGGTAGGCCAACTGGCTGGTTTCATCAGTACATTATATGTAAGTTTTTTGCTTTTATATGGTGTTAACGATACGAAGACGAATCATACGATCACGGGTCACGACGTTCCAGAAATGTTCATATTTGTTGTCGCTATTCTGTGGGAATGTGCGATTGTGGTTCGCAAAATTCGACAAAATCATCTAACTGTATCTTACTCGGGTCTGCATATTGTCACGGTTGTTTTAGTGCCTTTATTGAGCTCGTATGCAATGGCAATGTTTTACAAATACGCGATTGTTAAGTGGTTTAATTCCCTGGATAATGTGTTGTATCGATTCATGATGGCTATCCTGACACCGACCTTAGCACTGGTGCCGACTGCTATATGCAGTCATATGGCATTATGGCGTACTTCAGAGATTATCGAACCAGAGCGAAGCTTTGTATTGGTTTATTTTATACGGGCTGTTTCGTTCACTTTGTATCGTATCATGCAAGCAGACTTTGGGAATATCTGGCTGTTTGTTGGGCTATCTTTTTTATCGGGTATCTCGAGTTTACTTAAAACAGTGACTGTTGGTATTCGTGAGAAAGTATGGGCGCGAGTTATCAGGTTTCTGAACAGAACATGCTGTACAAGACTTCACCATTTGCCTGGGAACACACCGCATCATAGACGGCTTAAAGCAGATACCGAAATACAAAATATACTTTCTGAGAACAATTCACTGATTTTAAGCCAATGCTATATCGTGTTATATAGCATTGCAAACTTTCAGCTCTCTGATTGGTCTGTCGTGAAGTCATCTTTAACGAGAATTGCTATTGGATTGGTGATTGAATTCGTATTCAACTTTTTCTCTACTTTTATTCGCATACATTGGCATAATATTCCCATGGCACGAGTGGGGTCGAAGTACTGGAAACGACATATGTTCGCTAACGGAATCGTTGTTGCAATTTTAGTATGCTTCTTTACCAGACCCTTGCTCGCAGTATTTCAAGATCGTTTTCATGATACCTCTGTTGCTGGGAATTATACTATTAGAAATTGTACACTGCCTTATGAAGGCTGGCGTTGACTTCACAAACGGTCGCCGGTGTAAATGTGTGGTCAGTGGCGTGCTGGGTACTAATTTTCTGGGGGGCCAGTTGGCTTTCAACTAATATGCGCCCCTATATTGTAATGCTTGATAAACGAGTGTCGAAGGCACGAGCCGAGCGCCGCAGGTGCGAGGTTTCTCTAGGGGGTTCCGGGGGCATGCCCCCTCGGAAAATGTTTGAATTTAGGGTCTCTGAAATGCCATTTCCTGGACTTTGGGGGGAAGGTTTGACAGAAATCTGATGGTCAGGAAACGGCATTATAACGTGTTGAAATTTGCAATTTGGTTAGAATTATATTATATATATAGTAGTAGTTCTTAAATTGGGCAATGCTAACTCAGTTCCAGAGATTAATCTAATCCCAATTCTATTCTCTACTGATCTGGTGATCTGAATACATTTACAACATACAGCTCTTTTACACAATAACACAAGGACCCCACGCATATGCACTTTAAGGTTACCTTGCTTGGCTGCCAAAAGGGCGCTTTTCAGCATTATCTTATCACTTACATTACTCATGAGTCATGATGTTTGTTTCTGTCCTTATGACAGCATCCAGTTAAAAATAGAGATCAGGAATGCGACCGCAAAAGACAAGGACCGCGGGCGCAAAAACGTGAGACGAACGTTTTTTTGTCGTATCGAAAGATTGTTTTGCGAATTCCGTTAAATATTATGTAAATTTCTTGTTAAAATACACGAAAAAACTGAAAGCTATTTGTTCCACGTAAAATCGTCTTGACTTTTCTCACGATGGAGAAACATTTGGTCCTTTGGAGCCGGATCTAGAGTGGAAAAATAGCGAGATTTGACCACGAATTTGACTCGAAAAATTTGGCTATAAAATGGCGACAAACGAAAACATTCTTCGAGAACGAAAGAAATCAGCGAAAGGAAGACTTACGAAAGCGAGAAATCAACTAAAAAGCTTGCTGAACACTCAATTATACGGACAGTTAACGAGTAAGAATGCTATTCGACGAGCTATTAACAAGGTAAGCTCAGAATATGACATTATCGAAAAAATTATTAATGCTTTAAAGGAAATTTATGCTGTTAGTACATCCCACGACGAAAATACGGACACGTTAATTGAAAATCTCGATAAAGAGCTTGAAGAAATTGGAGCTCTGGTTGACGAAAGCCAAAAATTAGCCTACGAACATATAAAACAGCGAGAAGACAACGGTGAAACAGTTTCTGTATCGTTATCAACTGTATCGAAACCTTATTCAGTCGAAGAACAGACACATCCGGAAGTTAAGGAGGCTAATGACAGATTTTTACAAATACAAGAGGAACAACGACGACAAGAAGAAGAGTTAGAACAACGACATGTTGAACTAAAGGATAGACTATTGCATTTCCAGCAAGAACAAAGACAGAAAGAAGATGAGTTGCAAAAACGAACAGCTGAACTTGAGCTTACAAAACGACGAGCTGAAGAAGCACGAAAAATAACTGAATTAAACCAAATTAGAGCGGAAACCGCTGACCATGCCTCCAATTCCCACCACGACAGTTTAGAGAACACTCTCAATAATATCAATTTGCTTCCACCCACACCTTCAGTGCAACCTAATTATAAAACAGCCAAAAGAAATGGAACAGTTAAATTGAAAGGTGTGGATTTACCAAACTTTTCAGGCGAAAATAAGGCAGACTATGAGTCATGGAAAGCTGCATTCATGGCCATCATTGATAAAGCAGAGATTCCAGTTAGTGAAAAGATGTTACGCCTCCAAAGTAGTTTATCTGGGAAGGCATTAGTTATGGTCAAAGACCTTGGCTACTCACTGAATGCATATGAGAGAGCAAAGTCCAAACTGGAAAAGAAATATGGCGGAGAAAGACGACTGATGATTAAACATTTAAGAGCGAAGGTCCACTAATATCGAGCATCAGCCGGTCACGCTCAAAGTTTCGATTTTGCTCATTTTTGGTTTGCAGGAAGGCATTACCAAGTAAACAAACGTGATGTAGTTTGTTTTTCAAAAAACCGCTAAAATTCTGAGAAATCCGAGAAAAACGATTCAACTGTCGGCGGCCTAAAAAATATGCAAATTTTCAATTGAATCAAACAGGTTCAAAAACAACTAACGCATGCAGAATTGGAAAAGATATGAAAACTGTACGTTTGTAAATCGATGGAAGAGATGTTTGAGACTCGATTGAGTATAAAATCATGATATTAACTATTAATTAAAACCAGACAGCTGATATTTAGAATCGTATGTTATTCACACATAGCTAAAATTGCAATCTACCGTTGCCACGCCAAAACCATTTTAACTAAGTGCCCCAGATTTTTTCTACACGAAACGTACGCCATTAACTAATGAAATGTTCTTCTAGAACATATAAAAAAATTAGTCTGGGTTATTGTATTTAGAGTTCGTACGGAGGCCGTGAATATTGGGTATTTTCGACATATAGCGTGACTGAAATCTACAAGTGTTTTGTTCTTTCCGGAAGTTCCGGTCGCCATTTTCTCATAAATAGTTGCTATTTTCATCGGGAATTAAACCCGAAAATGCATTTCCGTAAGAATGGCTATTATTATCAATTTACATGGTTTTAGCAGTCACAGCATTCTTTATTTAAGACTAAGTAGATAGTGCTATGACCGAGATAGCATCACGATTACATGGGCAGTTTGAACCTGGGCTGAGTTTTAGTCAGAGCAATATTTATTCCTTGTAGTATTAAAACAAACCCAGGATGAAATGTCATCCCGGCCTGAAATCATACGATATCACGAAAGGCAATATTCCGCTTGTTTGAGCATTTAAAACGCCGATTAATTAGTCGACTATTTGACTTGTGTAAGACTGTGGTTGCATAATTATTTGCAATTACATGCATGGGATATTTCATCCGGGTTGACAGGGCTGAAAATCTCATCCTGGGTGACATAAACCGGGATGAAAATTTCAACCCGGCCTGAATTTCAGCCCTGTCAACCGGGATGAAATATCCCATGTAATCGCAAATAATTTCAGCCCAGGCTAAAAAAAAACAATCGTTTAAGTGGCTTTATTTTGCATTTCGTTTGCAATTCGAAATTTTTTCCATGTAATCGTAAAATTCATATTATATTGAATTTATAGGGGCCCCGGTCTGAAATTTCATCCCTGTTTGCCAGGCTGAAATTTCATCCCGGGCTGAAAACCTCCACGTAATCGGCCCCTTATTTTAACTAAAGACAAAACTTAGCACATTTTCAATAAGCTATAACAGAAGGATGACTTCGAAATTATTTTCAGTTTTTTTTAATTGTTAGTTTGCATGTGGTTTGGCTGAACATGCTCAGAGACAGAGAAATTGTGTTCTCAAACTCATTAATAATTTATAAACCGAAAACAAAAGAAATTAATGTTTAATCATGGGCGTACCGGAAGGAAAATATTAGGGAGGCGGAAAGAAATTTGCCCGACTTTTCCGGATTGTGCCCGACCAGTGCCGATTTTTTTTTTTCCGTAACAAATTAATTTTGGCGACCTCCCCCCCGGTTTCGGTCAGTGTATCATTTTAGGGGTCCAAAAATTTTTCGGACATAAAAAAATTTTTCGGAACATCATACAAATTTTCAACACATCACAAAATTGACCACAAAATTGACGGAATTTCCCACAAAATTGACAGAATTTGTCCCATTTATTTTTATAATAAGCCAATATTGCCCGACTGTGAAGCGAATATTGCCCGACTGACTTTGTTTGCCCAACAAACTGGGGGGGGGGGGCTGCCGCCCACCCCGGTACGCCCATGTGTTTAATCAGTGTTTTGAAACTGGAAGAAAACTGTCTTCAAAGCAGGTGGAGGATTTGAAATCTCCCAGGGATCAGCGGGCCTGATTAAGTATTCATTTTCAAACTACTAGTAGTTTGAAATTTTTCAAGGTACTAGTAGTTTGAAATTTTTTAAGGTACTAGTATTTTTAAATTTTTCAAGGTGCTATAGTGTACACTGGAATTAATTTAAGGTACAGAATATTGTTCTGCCATTAACAAAACTACAAAGCAAAATTAAACACACTTGAATCCTAAACACTTTTGTGGTGAAAAGTAAACTATCAGGTATAAGAGCACCGGTTTGTCTTGAGACAGCGATCGGGCGATGTAATTAACGTGTAAATTTCGTATCTGGAAAGTTTGATACTGCATGTCTAAAAATAGATCTTGCCAAGGTCTGGCCGTCATGGATATAAAGTGCTCCTTTTTCGCAATAGTTGTTGGTCATTGTGGCCATGATACTAGAGTTAAAAACAAATCATCAAAATGCGTTCAGTTGTTAAGTTGTAATCATGATATTACAGGGCATAAATCGGAAAACATTGAGCAATTCGTAATATATCCTGCACATCGATCTACTCTTGGAGCAGGGTTGAAACAGGCAGAAAACGAGAAATGTAGAATTCCTGTGATTCTATCAAATATTTCTTTACCACTATTTCCATTGTTACTAGAAACGCGATGATAGAGACAACACTCACGACAGGGAAATCGGGCAAAACACTGCCAAACAAATTTTTAGGTACTTTATTGACTTTGATTGGCAGCAATAAAAATAGTGTTAATGGTTCGCACGCAAATATTCCTAATTTTAAAAACTGCACTAATTTTGCGAGATATAAACAGAACCAAAAATATTGTGATTGTTCTATCAGGAGAGTAAATTTAATCGTACAGTACGGTGGCGCGCGATCGCCAATCGTGTCAGTTCTACTTGCTTCACCTGATGTTAGCTTCTTTAGAGACACTTCCTAAAAATGCTGTAACTGCTAAAACGCTGTGAGTTGCTAATAAAGGATGCCTTTTTATTTTTAACGGCATTTTCGGGTTTAAATTCCGAATGAAAATATAACGAATGAGAAAATAGCGACCGGAAGGAACAAACACTTGTCGATTTCAGTCACGCCATATGTCGAAAATACCCAATATTCACGGCCTCCGTACGAACTATAAATACAATAACCCAAACCAATTTTTTTATATGTTCTAGAAGAACATATAATTAGTTAATGACGTAAGGTGAGGAAAAAATCTGGGGCACTTAGTTAAAATGTTTTTTGCGTGGCAACGGTACATCGTAATTTTCGCTATTTGTGAATACCATACGATTCTAAATATCAGCTGTCAGGTTTTAATTAATAGCTAAAATTATTATTTTTATGCCAAATCAAATCTCAAACATCTCTTCTATCGACTTACAAACGTATAGTTTTCACATCTTTTTCCTACTTTGCATGCGTTACTTGTTTTTGAACCTGTTTGATTCAACTGAAAATTTGCATATTTTTGAGGTCGCCGACAGCCGAACGGTTTTTCTCGGATTTCTCGGAATTTTAACGGTTTTTGAAAAACAAACCATATCACGTTTGTTTACTTGCTAATGCCTTCCAGCAAACCAAAAATGAGCAAAATCGAAATTTTGAATGTGTCCGCGAATTCTCGATTTTGCTCCATTTTAGTGGACATCTGCTCTTAAATTGTACTCATTCCAATTACAAGACTACAAAAAAACCCTGTATTGTTATTTTTTGTCACTACCTCCCCACGTCAGGATTGGGTAATTTGCGCGCCTGCTGCCTTCCTTGGAGTGGTAGCCGTTTCTCAGGCTCCCTCTCCGGAATCGAACCCTAATTCTCCGTCACCCGTTGCAACCATGGTAAGCCACTACCTTGCCATCGACAGTTGATAGGGCAGAAATTTGAACGAAACATCGCCGGCACGAACAGAGAAGGCCTTGCGATTCGAACAGTTACCATGAATCACCAAATGGGTAAGCGGCCGTTAAGCCGCATTGGTTTTTAATCTAATAAATACATCCCTTCCCACGAGAGTCGGGACTTTTCGCATGTATTAGCTCTAGAATTACTACGGTTATCCAAGTAGTACGAGAGTACAATCAAATAAACGATAACTGATTTAATGAGCCATTCGCAGTTTCACAGTACAAGTGACAAATACTTGCATGACTTAATCTTTGAGACAAGCATATGATACTGGCAGGATCAACCAGTTAACTATACGTCGTTCGAACCAAGCGTATCGTGCACAAACACGACACGCTCGTTCGTTCGATCGATCGTACAAGTAACTATAATTTTTTTTGCCACGTCTTCCATCGTGCTCTTTGCGCACGGCACAAGCGGCCCCGTTTTGGAAACACGGCCAACTGTGTCGCACGCACGTAGATAGTCGAGTAGCACTAAGCACCCCCAACTATACATTCGTCACATCTCGCTTAGGACATTGTCCAAGGGACATGATAGACAACATTCGATGAAAGCGAGATTTCTTTAAAAAAAACGTGTACGTGTATTCGCCCAATGGAGGCGAAGGAAGCGTCGACGTTCTTTCTCGTTCGTGAAAACAAGCTGAGCCAGCGCTTCCCCTGCCACGTCGAGCGACAGGCGTTACAAACTCGCACTCGATTTCATGAAGCCAATGCTCCACGAGTACACCGTTCAGGCAGCCCCCTTTCGCTTTAGACGCGGCAACATCCTCATAACCGTCGAGCCATTCTGTTATAGACTCTCCGAAACGGTGTGCACGAGAATCGGAAATTTTAACTTCTTCTCAATCGGTCTCTAGGAGAGTCGAATTTAAAAAGATTGTTCTCGGAAACGGCGGGCATTTCAAGCTCTCCTCGCCTCGGTGCGGACGAGGTTCGAATTGAAAGTGGGACCTCACACCGAGACGGGTGGGAAGTCGAAAAATCGAAAAAACCGTGGCTGCGGGAGGATCGAGCGATTTGAAGCTCTTCTCGCCACGGTCCGAAAGAGGGTCCAATTGAAAGTGGGTCCTCGCACCAAGACGGGCCTTATACGTACAGTCATGCAACGAACAGTCATGCAACGTACAGCATACGTACAGTCATGCAAGTTGTGCAATAACAGTGTATTTACGTCGATGTACACGCACGTGTGTCAAGCGGTTCGAAGCGCTGGAGAGATCACATGTAAAGGGGATGTTCGTGTTTAGCGATTCTACCTTCGACAATAAAGTTGAGATATCTAGAGAAGATCAGCGAGCCGCTAACATTCTCGAGAATTCTGCCAAACTGCGTGGTGGTCATTACGAGTTAGCTCAGTCATGGAAGAGCTCTTCACCTTCGTTGCCAAACGATCGTCCTGTCGCTGAGCATCGCCTTGCTCTGTTGAAGAGAAGATTCAATAAAGATCCCAAGTTGTTTTTAAGATACACAGAGTTGGTGGATAGTTTGTTAGACAAAGGATACGCAATGAAAGTTCCTGCCAAATCAATGGAAATGCGCAGCAAAACCTTGTTGTATTTACCTTACCACCCAGTGATATCCAATATCCAATATATTAATATCCAAACAAGCCTGAAAAGCTGCGAGTAGTGTTTGATTGTGCTGCGACTTATCATGGTACATCTCTCAACGATCAACTGCTCCGGGGACCGGACTTAACGAACGGTTTGATTGGTTTATTAATTCGTTTCAGACAAGATCTAGTGGCATTAATGGCTGACATTGAATCCAGGTTCCATCAGGTTCATGTTCCTGACAAAGATAGAGATGATTGCGATTCTTGTGGTGGCCTCGTAACGACCTTGATGCCAGACCCGAAGAGTAGAAAATGACAGTCCACTTGTTTGGTGCTAAATCTTCGCCAACCTGTGCAAATTTTGCAACGAGAAAGAAAGCAACCGACAATGCGGAGGAATTTAGTAAGAACGTAGTTGAAACGATAAAACGAAACTTTTACGTAGACGACTGTCTCAAGTCCGTTGCAGACGAAGATGAAGCTATTACCTTCGCAGCTGATCTCCGTGATATACTGCAAAGAGGTGGTTTCCGTTTGACAAAATGGGTTTCGAACTCCCCAAAGGTCGTCGCTTCCATACCAGAACACGAGAGAGCTGGTTCCGTGAAGGACGTATGCCGTGGTCAGCCAACCCTCGAGCGAGCACTTGGTGTTCAGTGGAATGTGGTCTAGATCAGTTTGGATTTAAGATAAAGATGAAGGAAAAACCGTCCACAAGAAGAGGAGTACTTTCCTTAGTTAATTCTGTGTATGACCCTCTGCGATTCGCTGCTCCGTTTGTTCTGGTTGCTAAGATGCTAATGCAGGAGTTATGCCGAAAGAAGTTAAGTTGGGACGATCCTATTCAGGGAGAATACCTCAAACGATGGGAAAATTGGCAAACGCAACTAATGAAAATTGAGCAGCTCTACGTGCCAAGATGCTTCAAACCTCCCGAATTTGGGAATATCGTGTCAAGTCAATTGCACCAGTTCGCAGATGCTTCTGAACGTGCGTACGGCGCAGTTAGCTACCTTCGATTGGTAAATGAACGTGGTAACATTCATGTTTCGTTTGTGATTGGCAAAGCTCGTCTGGCACCGCTCAAGGTAGTTACGATCCCTCGACTCGAATTATCTGCAGCGAATTATCTATCAGACTGGATAAGATGGTACGCAACGAAATCGAGATCTCGATCGACGCTTCCATTTTCTGGACAGATAGTACAACCGTGCTTGGCTATATCATTAAAGGGGCAATGTCACCGATTTTTGACCTAAAATACCGTTTATTCAAAAACTGAACTACAAAGTTAAAAATAAACATTGTAAATGGATTAAGTTATGATATATGAGTCATATTAAACAACTTTGAACTTCCACGAAACATGTAATATGACATTTTCATAAAAATTGACTAAAACTTGAAAAAGTGTCTGCCAACAATTAATCAAGATGCAATTTACAATCCATCTCAATCCTGGCGTAATCTTGCCCCTCCAGACTTCTGTACATGTTTTTTGTGTCCGTTATTGCTTTATTTTGTGCTTACACTCATTCTTTTTCAGTTTTGGGCAAAATTTTCGAGGGTTGGAATTGCCCAAAAATCGGTGACATTGCCCCTTTAACGAAGAGAAAAGATTCAAAACCTTAGTAGCAAATCGAGTGGCTGTGATACACGAAACTACCGTACCGTCGCAGTGGAAATACCTGAGTACTCGGTTGAATCCAGCTGACGACGCCTCCCGAGGTCTCTCTGCCGATGCTCTACTTCACAATGAAAGATGGCTGAGTGGACCTGATTTTATTTGCAAGAGCGAAGACCACTGGCCAAGTCGACACTATAATTCTGCCGCGACCCTTGAGGATGAACCAGAAGTAAAGATAGAACCACAAACATTTGCCTCTGTTACAGGAACCCTAGAAGATCCCTTGGGTCAGATCTTTAAACGATTTTCGTCGTGGACCTGCCTTAGAAGTTTCATAGCCGGGGTGCTTCGTTATCGTTCGAAACTCCGCGAAGCTGTACGTAGAAGAAGAGAAGGACAATACGAGTCACTAAAGGCGAGAGTTATTAATCCAATTAGTGTTGGTTCGCGCAGAGAACGTGATTGTGAAACACGTTCAGGGAACAAGCTTTCGAGAGGAGCTGATACGTTTAGGCGATCAATCCATCAATGATACAACGAACGAGTTAAAAGTCAAGTATGTTAAGAAATCAAGCCCTATCTTTAATCTGGACACACAGTTGATGGATGGTATTCTACGTGTTGGTGGCCGTCTGAAGAACGCTCCAATACCAAGAGAAAGCAAGCATCCTATAATTGTCCCACAAAATAACCATATTTCCAACTTGATCGTGCGATACTATCATCAAATCTCCGCTCACGCGGGACGCGAACATGTTTTGTCACTCGTAAGGGAACGTTTCTGGATAGTTGGAGCAAGAATCATGGTGAAACGAAAGAGACAGGGTCCACGTGGGGAGCAGAAAATGGCCGACCTACCAAAGGACCGAGTTATCCCTAATAACCCACCTTTCACCTTCGTTGGGGTAGATTGCTTCGGGCCATTCCTGGTGAAGAAGGGGCGAAGTCTCGTGAAGAGGTATGGCGTTCTCTTCACGTGTTTAACGATTCGAGCCATTCACGTTGAGATAGCCTACTTTCTTGATACTGATTCGTTTCTACAGTCCATGCGAAGATTTATTGCCAGACGTGCTCATCCGGAGGTTATGAGATCTGATAATGGAAATAATTTTGTGGCCGAAGAAAAGGAACTTCGTAACGCAATCGAGGGATGGAACCAAGAGAAATTGCATAAGTTCCTTTTACAACAACACATAAAATGGATTTTCAATTCACCTGCCGCCTCCCATCAAGGTGGTGTATGGGAACGATGTATACGCACTGTTCGCAAGGTTTTGAAAGGACTTTTCAAGCAACAAGTACTCGATGACGAAGGATTAACTATATTGATGTGTGAAGCAGAATCAATCGTGAATAGCAGACCTTTGACTAAAGTTTCCGATGATCCTAACGATGCAGATGCGTTAACACCGAACCACTTATTGTTCTTACGATCTGGTCCGTATTTCCCTCCGGGAATCTTCACGAAGGAAGAGCGTTACAGTCGCCGCAGATGGAGAAAAATACAATTTCTGGCTGCTATATTTTGGCGCCGATTGGTAAAGGAATATCTTTCCACATTGCAGAAGAGACAGAAGTGGACCAAGCCGCGCAGAAATTTCCAATTGGGAGACATTGTGCTCATCGTTGATGAAAGTGATCCAAGATGTTCCTGGCCTCTTGGTGGCATCACAGAAGTGAAGCCAGGGAAGGATGGTTATGTCAGACGAGTGAAAACGAAGTCAACGATCCTGGAACGCCCAATTAACAAGATTGTCTTCCTGGAGGCTGATGGTATCGAGAAAGAATGAACGTCAACCTGATGTTCAGAAGTACCTCTGAAATTAGACTTCAATTTATAATAACCTTTTCTTAAAGACGGGTTACAGTCCGTGCTGCGCATGTGCGATTCTTTTTGTTTTGGTAGACTACTTATCTCTCGTTTCCATGGTTTCCAGTCCGATTGCGTAATATAACCGCGATTCTATATTTGTTGATACAAGGAGTGGGAATACACAGTTTCGAAGAGATTTTCAACGATTTGTGACTTTTATGAAGTGAAATCCGATTAATAACAAATCATTGAAACAATATGAGAAGAAGGAAAGAATATTACGCCAACAAGGATGCCTTTAAAGTGTGTTTATTTGAAATTCAGTCAAGCGCTTCACCATGTCGTACATGGGTAAAGGTAAATATTTGTTTATACATTTGATTATTTCGTTCTCCTGAGTCGTGACTGGATTTCTAATTCGCTGTGAATTTGTGACAATTTTTAAGCTAGGGCAATTACATTCATTTACTGTCTGAGAAAATATGGGATTTCTGAGTTTTATAGTTCAACTTGTTCAAGACATGTATAGACTAATATAGTACTTGAAATAAATGTAATCACCTCAGGCTCAGTACTAGATTCAGTCAAGGATAAAACTGATTTCATCTTTATATGGTGAGCTGTTATCAAAATGCTACTGGGATTGAGTTATTGGATGATTATTGTTTTGTAATTCATAATCAGGCATCTCCAGATGAACTTTTTGGTAGCAGCATATATTTGTTTACATCGGACATGATTGTACTGTATGTTGGTTTTCACATGGGACCCAGTCCTGCTGACCATACATTCAATCATTGTTGTATATTTTATAGCACTTTTGTGTGATTGCATATTAAAATTAATATCACTACTGCACTGGACAAAAATGTACTATGTTGAATGACATGGCATGATTGTTTGTGAACCTTCAAAAAATGCATAGTGTAATCTTTATAAAGGGTATATACCCCATGTAAATCTTTTTTTTTGGAAACATTGATGACTGTAGGTTCTCATTCATGGAAAAATTGAGGACAATTTGCACATCACCACCACCATATTCATGGCTACACCCACCAACATCTGGACTGTTGCAACTGTAGACATTGTGTTCCCCATGCCGACAGGAAGAAAATATGTGCTCTGTTAGATCAAGATAACATTGTATATGTAGAATACTGTTGTTCTAAGAAATTGTTTTGAGTCAGATGTTCTAAACATTGCCATTAACCCTTACTCGCACTAGAAATTTTCTTGGCAAATTTCTTCTCATGATACATGTAGGAACATTGATGAAAACACAATGCCCTTACAAAACCAAATTATATGGGACATATATGGACCAACTATGGGATTGATATGGTTCAACCTATGGGCCATATATGGGAAGTATATGGCTTTGGTGTGGCCTGGTTGCCTTCATAGCATACCCATATCATGTTTTTGATATGGGTTTGATACATATTTGGTACAAATCCATACATATC